CAAATTCGACTGCTCTACAGTGGAGGTCACAGAGATAGCTCCACACGTGCGATTATCTAGAAATCTAGAGGTTAAATTGTGTTTTTAGACAAAGGGCTGGCTTGACTTAGAATCACATTCCAGTGGCGTTCTCTATCACAAGTGCGCGTTTAAAGTGCATTGCTATTAAGCATGCATTATATACACTTCAGTGCTTGCCAGCTACTTCAGTCTAAATTCCTTGAGCAAACATAATTTATTCCAGGCCAAACTGCTAGCACATATATGATATTACAAGCGTATTTTTTCCTTAGCTTCATCTGCAATCAGGCTAATAGCAACCGAACACTGGATAGCAAAGCCAATAGTTAGCCCGAAGTCTCAGAGCTATTGTCTTGACCTCCAATGTATATTTGGCTGTCTGTGGCTGCGCAAACACAAGTGATCCGTCGCTGGTGTTAGTTTAGCTGCGTATATTAATTGGTGACGCTTGAGTCAAAGGCTATTCAACACACACTCATCGTTTCAGGTCTGTGGAAAAAGTCTGGCAAATTATTGTTCCTGGGCCTGGATAATGCTGGCAAAACCACACTCTTGCATATGCTCAAAGATGATAAGCTGGCGCAGCACGTGCCCACACTGCATCCAAGTGAGTCTACTCCGCCTCTCGGGCAGAAGTCGTTGTGTAACTTTAACCATCTAACCAACTATCGCTTGCAGCATCCGAGGAGCTGTCCATCGGCAACATGCGCTTCACTACATTCGACTTGGGTGGCCACACTCAGGGTAAGTGCCCAATCCTCACCAGAGCTCAGGGGAATGTGCATCCAAATCGTTGCTATTTTCCGTACGTGTCAAAGACCAAATATAGACCAGTATGCAAATATCGCAGGGCGAAGCAAGCAAATCCGCCAGATTCACGACAATCAGCATGAAATATAGCTCATCAGGTCACCCATACAGCCAGTGGCTCTTACACCCGTAGCATTTGTTGCGTTCAATCAGCGCCACACACTCGAATGCCCATCGAAGCAATGGCACTACAGTGGTCACAGCCAGTTCATCCTCGGATCTCAAAATTGTGATTAGTACGCCCTCAGAATACTAGAAAATGTAACCCATTGCATAGAGTCACTTATAAGTTTGGCATACCCTCAGAGTCTTTTTAATTGCCAAAATATATGTGAAATAATACTATCTCCCTACCCACTGTGCACATATAGGCGATATATTTATTATTAATATTACGAAGGCAAACATTCTCTATGTAGACAAAAAAGCACATCAGTGTGCACACAAGCAGTTGATTTATTTGTATACGTTTGAACATTAGGAAAAGTGGTCAAACATCGTGAAATGCTTGTAGGGGCCAATTGTTTTGATAAAGAAGCTCTAGCACTTCACTGTAAGTGCAGGTCGTCATCGTGACGATCGTTTTTGCTTCGGAACTAGGTATACTGAGGCAGAGAAGTTCAGCGGCAGAAAGATATCACATTCGTGCCTGATATCAGTGACTAGCGCTTTGATATTCTAGCGATGTTATATAAGTTACAGATAAATTACAGATCTTGATTAAAAATAAAAGTCTGAGGACTAAACCAGTTTGAAGCAGAGCTCTTTCCTTGTGTGATAACCGCTGCTGTTGTATTGCTTCTCATATTTATGGCCCATGTTCACTTTTGCAGCACGACGCGTCTGGAAGGACTACTTCCCCGCTGTGGATGCCATCGTTTTCCTAATAGACGCCTGGGATCGTGGCCGCTTCCAGGAGAGCAAAAACGAGCTGGATTCGCTGCTCACGGATGAGGCGCTGTCCAACTGCCCCGTGCTCATATTGGGCAACAAAATCGATAAGCCCGGCGCGGCCAGCGAGGATGAGCTGAGAAACGTGTTTGGACTGTATCAGCTAACAACCGGCAAGGTGAGTCAACCCAAGCCAAGTCAAGCCCAGCCCCCCTTCCTCCTGCTGGCCATTTAACTAGGTGTACATAAATGATATCCGTTTGGTTTTCAGGGCAAAGTTGCACGCACCGATTTGCCCGGCCGTCCTCTGGAATTGTTCATGTGCTCCGTGCTGAAGCGACAGGGCTACGGCGAGGGTTTCCGTTGGTTAGCGCAGTATATCGATTAAGTCAGAATTAGCAACCACCACCACCACCAGCACCATATTTCAAGAACACCACTCCAACACTCAAGAGTCAAACCGAAAACTTGGCTACTAAATTTCCAAACAAAAATTCGACCACTGAAACAGAACCGAAGGGATATGAACCCAGCCGAATTCAAACCGTCAGACCTTAAGCAAAACGAAGCTGCGTGCGCAATTTCTAATTTATACAAAACAAATATTTCATAATAATAAAAGCGAGAAACCATACAAAGTACATCTGTAATTAAACGACGCCGTTTAATCCAGCCACACACAAGCGCGGGGAAAAACCACAAGACAAGAGAACACAAAACAACACAACATGAAAGTGCAAACAACTTTTCTATCTGGAACATCGGGATAAATTGTAAGGAGCTGAAGGATGCGAGGAGGGCGCAAGGGAAACTTTTAATAATAATTATGAATAACAAATTATAGCAAATTAAAGGTGATTTATTTAAGAGCATGTGCTTTCAACGACGCTGTTCCGTGAATAAACTAGCTACCTACCTTGATTTCAAGTTTATGAATTGTACATGTCGCTATTGATTTCCTTCATAGTTTACTTTGGCCACCCATTATATACAGCCTATTAAGTTCGATTTCGCGTGATCTACGCGTTTCAACCTCCGATAATGGTACACTTTAGTTTAGCTAAAATTTTTAAGTTGCATGTCATCGATGTACTTTGTTTCATTTTACACAATACGAAAGGGAAAGCAATTATATAAAATCGCATTTTTGTTTGCAAACCGAATTCTAAATAAAACGGAGAAAAGTAATTTTGTAAAATACGAATTGGTGACTGTTGTTTTGCATTGGGTTGACAGTGCTCAGCTTAAATGAAACCCGGCGACGTACAAATATATTGGATTTATTTATTTTGCATTTAGGGTTTACGCTAATGAGTCACGATCAGAGCATCTATTGAAATCAGGGAGCAGGCTTCCATTGGGGGCGAGCACGGGATCAAAGAGCTGCAAACATGCTGGTCTAAGTAGAAAAATATTACAAAACTCTGATGCGGCCAGACTGCAGAGGATTACGATTAGGACCTCAATGCTAACTGCGCCGGCAGCGGGGCAGTCGTCTCAGCAGCATCAGTTGGCGCTGAAAGAGGCGCATGAGCAAGCCCTTGCGCTTGGCCCGCTCCCTGCATCAGGAACGCGAGGATCCGCCCATAGAAGCGGACCCCGCGCCAGCCATGCGTCGCTTCTTTTTCTTCTTGGCCGTTAGACTCTCCTGACCGCTGTCCGTGTTGGAATCGCCGCCATCGTCGCTCTCCTCCTCCGACGACGAGGAACTGCTCGACGAGGAGGAGCTTGAGTTGCTGGAGCTGTCCGACGCGAAGCCGGTGCTCTCGTTCAGGTTAATACTATCGGCGATCTGGGCCAGCTCCGGTCGCTGGTCACGCAGCACGCGCAGCCACTTTCGGGACAACTTTGGCCGCCCGCGAACAGTCTTGTGCCAGACGCAGGGAAAGTTCGTCTGCGAACTGAAGTTCTGGGTGATGGCAATGGTGTCGTCCAGGTTGAGCACCACGTGCCACCAGCCGCCGGGCACGAATACTGTCTCGTCTTCTGCCTGAAGCACTTCGATGGGGCGGTACTGCTCGGGCCAACTAGGCAGCTGGGTGCGCGGATATATGGTGCTAAACCAGGTGATGGCTTCGTCCCGTTGCTTGCCACCCATGGCACTGGTGACCTTAAGCAGCTCCTTGGGCGTTTGGGTGGGGAACAGGCACCAGCGCTTGTGGCCGCGGATCAGCGTGTTCCAGGCACTCGTGCCCAGTGGGTCAATGTGGATGCCGGTGCCGGAGCGAGCCGGTCCCATGACAAACCAGCGGTAAGGCGGACGACGATTCTCACCGCAGTACTGAAAGAGGTCGTCGCGAAAGTACTTGGGCACCACATAGTCATCCAGGAGCTTGCGCCGGCGATGGTGTTCGCCGAAGCTGCTGTCGAAGATGTACAGCGGACTGTCGTCGCGCGTGCTCTGCATGTACTCCACGTAGTACTTCATCTTCATCTTGACGCTATAGCCCTCGTTGTCCTCGCCGCACTTGAACTTCTGGTTGCGATACTTCTTGGCCAGGCGGGCCAGTGTCCACTTCTCCAGCGCCAGCCAGCCGTCGGTGCAGCCGCGTATGATCACCGGCTTGTAGGGCCGCTCGAAGCGTTCGATGAACTCCGATTCCGGCACCTGCGACTCCTCGATCCGCTCCAGGTTATCGGTGAAGTCCCAAAACGGCTCGAACTTCTCACAATACCGCATGGCCGACCAGGCATTCTCACCGTCCAGTTCCGGGCGAGCCTTGCGCTTCACCTCCCGCGTGCGCTTGCGGGAACGCTTGGGCAGCTTGAATTCCTCGCTCATCCTGCTGAAATTCGTTAATTTTCCACAGCTCCTGGAAATTAAAGCAGCGTGATTGCAGTGTGGCCAGCCGACGACGTTTCGAACATGCTGCCAATGCGACGCTGGGCCCCACCTGGTCACCCAGCTGGTCGACCAGCCGACGAAGCACTGCTTTTCGGGTTTTATCAGTCGTAACGTAAGTCGTTTATCGTAAGTAACGGAACATTTTCGAAGGCTGTCCCGCTACTTGCTAACAGATACCATTGTTAGTTGCGACCGAAATGTATATTTTCATTGAAAGCCAGGGCTGCAAGACTTTAAGGTGACCAGCACTTGCTATCTAAATTCAAAGTTCAAAATAAAAAAAAATGTTGTTTTAACTATCTGAAACTCTCACAAGAAATGCGTAAATAAATAATAAAATGTAATAAAGACTTTAGGGCGAATTATCTCAGTTTGATTATACGATGCGATATATACGATAGAGTGGCGAAGCCCTGGTTCGATGGCATTTCTCATGTGACAGCTGTGGGCGAATGAAAATAATGATAAGCCAAGTCGGACGAGGTGGAGTTTTTGAAAACTATTTGCAAATCGTTGATAACCAGGTGCTCGCTTCTCTTCCAGAGCTCTACAAGGTGCCGCTCCGCATTCTAGACCATCGCGTGTTCGTAAACGGCGAGATCGAGGCTTTTCTCGAGAACTTCGAGGTGCGGCGCAACGACAGCGAGGTGGAGAAACTTTTCCAGGTCACCGAGACAGTGGGATCTCTGAGGTACGATCTCTCCCGGTGCAGTGCAACCGGCAGCGGTAGCGGTAGCGGAACCGAGAACCTCGCCCAACTGGACACGGAAGTCAACCATCTGCTGGACGGGGTCAACGCACTCTTAGCGAAAGCGAAGGTGGAACGAACTGTTAGTGGGTCACCGTAATCTCCGCCTGTTTATCATTGATTAATTGGTCTTCCGTTCGCATTCCAGGCCAGCACCCAGTTGCAGGAAGCGCGACTGGCACGTGAGCAACGCCGGGCGGAGTTCCTAACTAATTTGGAACACGGCTATCGCCGCATCGAGAACTCGTTCGAGGAAAAGGAGGAGGAAATCGCAGAACTCTACTCGGATTTGCAACTGAAACTGAACATTGCCAAGTAGATACTATGCTGAAGTCAACGATTGTGGATACTCGGGTGCGCCTTGTGCCGTCGAAGAAGCTGTTTGATTTTCTGGACGCCCAAAAGGAGCACTTCCAGGAGGTGCCCGAAAATGTGGCAAAGATTATGAAACAAAAGGACCACACACTGCCCATCCATATCAAGATAATCAAAGATGTCGGCTTAGTCTACAAACGTCCAAAAATCGATTACGATTTGCTGAAGAAACTTACTGAAAATCTAGCCGACACAACAAAAGAATCCACCAAGGATCAACCGGAACCAGATTCAGAGGTCAAGGATAGTGATGAAGAAGAGTCACCAAAAAAGGTGAAACATTTCTTGTACTTAAGTGACCTGCACTGGCTCTCAAACAAGCTGGCTGAACTGCGCCGTCAGGATCACTGCCAAGTCTTTCTGCATCAGTTGATTGAGTCCTGTGATCTGCTTCTACCCGAAAACGAAATGAAGCCGCGCAATCCTGAGTTAGAAGCCCGCTGTCAACGCCTTCGTGCAGAGCAGCACAATCGGGATTACCTCAAAATGACCAAAAATGTGGATGCCGGCTTAAAGCATTACCCAGAGGACACAATCAGCTATCAGAGTGAGTGGATATAACCAACTTATTAGATGCACCCTTTAAAAACGTTTTTCTTGGCTTCCAGTCAAGAGCCTTAATAAGCAAATCATTGCCGTGGTGCAGTTCATCTTCTCCGTGGCCGCTGGCTTTACGTTCGGCTTCTTTGGCGTCAATTTAATGGTGGGCCCGTTGCCTTTCGGCTTTCGCATTTTGCTGGGTGTTATTGTGGCGCTTATCATAGCCCTGGCTGAGATGTACTTCCTGGCCAAGAAGCTGCACGAGTACGACGAGGTCCTGGACGCTCCCAAACGTAAACCGCAGCCATCGGCCCCGGCTAAGCGAAAGGCGGACACCCCACCCGCCGAGGGACGTTCAGTCCAGACGGTGAAACCCCATGCGGACTAGATAGCTTGGGACTCAGAATCGTTTTGTCGTTGTATTATTTCGCTTTGCAATGTTAGGTTATATAAATATCTGTAAAAGTTTTATTCTTTCGGGATCGGGGACTTGGATATCGATTATATGCTACGTATGCTCGTTTCGACCATGAATGCACACCCTATTCGTAGTGGTTCGGCTGTGGATTAGGGTTATTCCAGCCCTCGTCCACAGCGTCAGATCCTCCACGTCCCAGCCAGGCCATAAGGTAGACGAACAAGACAAAGGCCAAAATACCGGCGGTCACCAGGAACCAAGTGCGACGCCACGGCGGCCTGGAGGAGGGCGCATAGAAACGGCGCGTCCATCGCGAGAACAGTTCCGCAGGAGTGCGGCGCTGGTACTTGTTATCGTCTCTATCTGTCCCACCAATTGGCGACTGACGGGGCAGCAATGGCCTTCGGCTGCTGGCTGTAGGAGAATAAGACGGCAATTGTAATTTGACTTCTCTTGAAAACCAACAAATATGCTAGATTATACGCACCGTAGTCTCCCGCACTTGGGGGATTAAATGCATCCATCAGGAGCACGGAATGTGGACTCACGGCGTCATGGCCATTGGGCTTCGTGCGCTCCCGCTCGCCACCGGAATGGATGTGGTGCACTTTGGTCATGTTGCTGACGGCCGACTGGCTGGCCACCTTGGGCTTGATTGCCTTCAGGCTGTTCTGCTCCTCGGAGAGCTGGGCGAGATTTCGCAATGTAATCGATTAAAAGTTTACTACGTGGAATGCTTACCAGGGCAAGTCCCAGGCCATTCCTGCCCCAGTTAACCTGCGACAGGAAACTCTTGAGAGCATCAGCCACCGGGGAGACCAGGTTGGCGTTGGGAAAGATCTCCACAGTGCAGGCGGGGCACTGGTGACCCCGAGGAGCTGTGTTAGCAGGCAGTGCAGCTTGGCGAGCGTTTAGGCAGTCCCAGTGGAAAACATCTGGAAATGGCAGGATTTTAGGTCAGTGTGTAGTGTCTGGCTTAGCTGAAAGCTGTCAGATCCTTACGGTAGCAGACGAGGCGCACACAATCGCCCTGCTCCAATGTGGTGCCGCACAGAGTGCAGTTGGAGATGTAGTCGCTGTCCCGCAGCCACTGCAGATACGACTGCACAATGCACTGGAAAAGAGTGGATATGGTGTATTCCAAGCATAAAACCAGTTGATGGGAAATCCTTACCTTCGGATGCGACTGAACCATACAGTGTTCGCAAACATTTACTCGGTGCTCAAAGCAAAACTGGTTGGTCACCAGGCGCTTGGGACACTTGCACAAACCCATTTCGTTGAATTCGGGGTTCCTAAGGCGGTGGAGCAATTGCACTTGGCGGCCTTGAGATAGCTATCGCATAATAACGCCACAAATTAAGTTAATTTTTTATTTCGTTTCGCAGCTTTTGTCGGAATTTTCGAGGTGGCATTCACAAATTCAACAGCCACGTATCTGTTACCGCGCTCAGGGCGAATGGCAACCAGCTGACGGATGTGGCAGCAAATATCGTAGCGATGAATAAAAAATACGATATAACAGTTGGGTGTTTGGGATTTTAAAAAACTGTTTAAAATGTTACTTTTTTATTATAACCAACAAAGTTAAGATGTTTGTGCTATAAAAAGCAAACTAAACTAGAAGTTGAATTTTTAATCCTTAAAATAAAATCCATTGTTTTCGAGGTAATCTCTAATCCAACCAATCTCGCATATATTCACAGGTTATAGCAGTTACATCGCCACAATTGGAGCAGTTTTTAATGACGGGACAAATGCCGCAAGGCATCTGCACCAGTCCAGTCGGAGGAAGTGGGGAGTTAACCGCCCGGTAGACGAATGAACCATCCTGTTGACGCACTCGCTCCGCATTGCCGTCATACACCACCGTTTTAAGAATTGTTTCCAGATCGGCCTCCGCCAGATTAACCTTGCTGATGCCCAGGTCCGAGATGAACTTCTGCACCTCGTTGACCGTGCAGCAAGACATCTGCTTGAAGGCCAATGGACCCTCCCGCTTCTTTTCCGCACTGTCGCGTTTCATTTGCAGGAAGCGCAGGCACTGCTGGTTGAGCACATCCACAAACTCCACCTCAAAGTCCTGATCTTGGTACCAGGCGCCGCCCGTAATCGAGAGATCCGGCTCCAGGTTGTACAGCATGTACACCTTCTTTTTGCTGGCCTGCGCGAGAAATATTTGGAATCACATTGAACTGGTAATATAGCATCATGGAACCTACGTTCACCGACTTGACCGCCTTGATAAGCTTCTTAGTTTCCAGGTTCTTAAGGATCTTGTTGAGCTGTATCATATTCAGGTTGGACTTCATGCGTATATCCCGAATCCAGATGCCTTTGTTGCCGCCCTCCTCCACGATGCCGTATACGACCTTTTCCTCATTGTCCGCATCCTTGGGCAGGGCACTCTTCTTTTCCGGGTCCTTGGCTCGGTACACTAACTTTTCACCCTTCTTCAGGATCTCGATCCCGCCCTGCTGCAGTAGTATATTCAAAGCCTCCACCCGCGTGGCCGCCGGCACATCGGGCAGCGCCTTGGTCAAGTCATCGTTGGTGGCTCCTGCTGGGATGCCCTGAACCACCGCCAGCAATAGTTGCGACACCTCAGCGGCCATCTATCTATTTTCTACAATTTTTATTTTAAAATTCAATTAAATCGAGAATAACAACACGCTTACCGTAGAAACCAGAACCAAAACAAACGGTTCCAGGCGAATGGCTAGCGATGCTAAGAAGAAGAAAAATCACTCAAAAACAAAACAAAACTTTAAAAATTTAAATTCGCTATGTTAAAATAATAAGTTTAGGAAGTAAAATAAATACGTTTATCAACTTAGATAAATATAGATGTTAATAACAGAGAAATACAAATATGTCAGGCTATATTTTTCATTTTTATATTCGAAAAATAATTTCAAATGCTTATAGGTGGTGAGGAAGTCGACATATAAATTCAAAAAATTAATTTAAACTTAAACTTAACTTTAAACATAAAAACTTTCTTTAAGGTTGCAAGAAAGAAACATACACAATATGGAGAGTAATTTTATTTAATTTTGGTTTATATTGAGTTTAAGCAATTTTAAGGCATAGGGAGCACCCCAAATAGTATATCGTGAGTTTGGTATATATATACCAAAGGGTATTTACTTTTAAAACGAATGGCTTTTTTAGCCACACTGGTGCCAACTGTTTTTTCGAACAGATCGCCGGACGCACTGTTTCTGATTGGAGTGTTCGCTGCCTGTGCATTTAAATTGAATTAAAATAATTCCAAAACAGGAAGAGCAAATACATCTCTCTGCGAGTTCACCTTTACTGTCCGAAACAGGTAATTATCAGATCTTCTTGGAACGACCTTAACTGAAACATCATCCCATTATAATACGCTAGTAATTTCGCTAACGAATTTGGCGGTGGCAAGATGTGTGTTGTTGCTGTTGTTGATGATGCAAGCAATTTCTCCACATTATGTAGAATTGCGTTTGCCGCCTCACAAAGCACACACACACAAGCACAGCGGCGAATTCAATTCGCACACCCATACAATCTCAAAAGAACCTCGTTAGTGAAATGTGTAAAGGTGAAATAGAAGTCATTCCATGCAGAGCGCGCCTCGAAGTAAAATGACCCACACCACCGCAATCACACCCTATAAAAACAGGCCATAGGGAACAATGCAGCAATAATAATCTCGAAGCGCTGTAAACTTCCACTATCGCAATTGTTTAATTGCCCTGTGACGACGCCGCATTCAGCGACGATGAGTAATTTTGCATACATTTGCTTTGTGCCGGGTTGTCTAAATTATTGTCGAAACTTTGTTGTTGTTTCGGCGTCTCAGTGATAAGCATTTGTTGTTGCGCAGACCCGAGCTTCAAAATGTTAACGGCGCTAACGTCCTTTATTTACAAGTTCAAGGTTAAATGCGGCACATAGTATGTACTACATATTAACTGAAGCCTGGAAAAGCACTTTCACTTTCAGAACTTTTCTCTCGTCGTTTTCCGGCGACAAAAGCTAACGAGCTTTGCACGCTTTCTGCGCGTGTCACTCACGATGAACGAAAGAGAGGGAAGAAGATAAAAGGAAAGTAGATGCTCACGCACTTGCATAATGGCAGTGCGAGCGGGACGGAGCTGTTCTCCGTGGAGGAGATTAGGTTGTCAAGGTCAGCACAGTGGAACTCTACGTGAAAGTGGGACAGTGGGCTCTTTTCCTTGTTGCTGCTTTTCTATATTGCCAGCTGATAAGCGCCGTCTAACAGCTGATGATCGGCTTTTTGTTTACCACGCACACACATGACGACATCACGTGTGCATATGATAACACGTATGTACATACATATGTATGTACAAATTTGCAAAAATTAACGCAATGGATCGTTGAACCTTCTGTGTCGATTGTCGGCCAGCATAGCAACGGAGCTTTGCAATAGATATCTTTGGAGCTTCCGCTCGTTGGATAAACTTTTCGCATCTCCTTAATCGAAGGGAGTATACATACGTGGGTGTTTACACAATGTGGTATCTTAATTCTGCAAGACACTTTACTTATACTTAAATATCGAACGATATTACATATGTACCTCTCCCTTTCCAAATTGATAATATGTTTGTTATTCATTTGTATATTCAGTGTTGTAGATAACTTGGTTGACTGAACAGCTGCCACTCACTGGTCGAGCATACCCTTGAAAGTACCCTTCCTGCTCGCTTTACAGCTTTGTAGCTTCTCGCCAAAGTTGGCTCTTTAGGGGTGGCCTGTTGCGTCCTCCTCTCGCCTCTCTGGGCCCAAACTCTCTCGCCTCTGCGATTGTGCTCTCTTTTTCTTTCGGGCTACCGACATTCTGAGCGCTTTTCGCTGCGGCTCGGGAAATTTCCGCTTGCCAAAAAAATCTGTGCGGCAGTCGAACTTTTTGTCTCGTCCTCGCCGCGTCCAATTTCCATATATATCCCGATTTCCGTCTCAAACTTGATAGATATATTGCCAAAATATTGCACTCGGCTAGCCGCTGCATTGTGTGTGTTGTTGTGCGTGGCGTTGCGTGTGCAGTTGCAAAAAGATATAGTCTATATCGATTGAATCGCCAGGCCGATCTCGATCACAAGTGCGTTTCCCGTTGGTTACATACTGCCCGTTTAGTAGGCAACAAAATGGTGAACGTAACCATCTACGATGAGGCTCCGCAGCTGAAGGTACGCCAATGTCACGGGAATGGAAGCCACCAGAATTGGTCCATAAAGATATATATAATCGTCATAATCTGACTGGCGGGTTGGCCCGATATCAGAGTCATTGGGGGGAGAGCTGGGCAATTATGCAACTGCAGCTAAGAAAATTCTGTCGGTCGCGGTCGACAGAACTGACCTTCGGCGGTGCAGCGCTGCCGGCGTCGAATTCGCTGCACAGGTTTCTTCCGCCTGCTGCTTTCTCTCTGCCACTCTCTCTTCCGTTTCGCCTTTCTCCGGCCCTCTCTTCTGGGACAACTACAACCACCCAAAACCTCCCACTCAAGCACTTCAAGTACTCGCACTTTGTTTACATCAGCGAATTCTGCAGCGACAGATACGCGATTTTCAAGAATTTATACAAACAGTGCGAAGAAATATTCTTATCTTATAAAAAAGCTGACCAGAAAATTATTGCTAATATGTGATGAACAATCGTAAAGGCTTACGAAATGTATATTAACTACGGAGCAGTAACATTTATTCGGTTATCGGGCTATACCATTTTATATATCTAGTTTTATCAATGGCTATTTACACATGCTACTTAATAAAATCAGAATGATAAAATACTGCATCGTTATCATTTTAATTACGATTAAATTGCAAATGCCTGCTCTGTCAGTTCGCAAATGTTTCATGCTCTATAACTAGTATTTCAAACTTTGGTTAAGAAAAACGAATGGGTGACCGAGCATTTGGCTTAAAACGTCGTGTTTGGCTCGTTTGGTTCTATTTATAAGCCGGTGGTAAACATTTAATTTGGTCGATAAACACCGTATCGATTTATGTCTGTTATCATGAGTTTTGCTCGCTTTCACCGCGTTTATGTTGGGGCTCTAAATGTGTTTCATAATCCTTTTGCGATATTTCACCAGGGGATGATTTCAATATCATAAAAGTCGTGGGTTATATATTTTTTAGCTAGAACTTTGTCGATTTTTAAACTGATAGGGTTTCTTGTTGCTAGGGAGTGTCTGCTGATAATTTGAGTTATTTGGAAAGAAAAGGTTTCAGTCAATAAACAAGACTTAAACCGGTTTTTTTTTTTGCAAATGTTGGTAATTAGCGTATTTATTTCTAAATATAACAAGAATTTACACTGTTTATAAATATGAGCAGAAATCGAAATAAACAGAATTAAATATATGTACAACTTAATTTTTCAGCCCAACGAAGTACCGCAAAACATGGCAGCCGGAGCTGATACCCAACTGGAGCACATGTGCCGTCTGCAGTTCGACTCGCCAGTGCCCCATGTGCGTCTGTCCGGAATCGTGTGCACCATCGGACCTGCCTCCAGCAGCGTGGAGATGCTGGAAAAGATGATGGCCACCGGCATGAATGTTGCGCGCATGAACTTCTCTCACGGATCGCACGAGTACCACGCCGCCACCGTGGCCAATGTGCGTCAGGCGGTGAAGAACTACTCGGCCAAGCTGGGCTACGAACATCCCGTGGCCATTGCCCTGGACACCAAGGGACCCGAGATCCGTACCGGTCTGATCGCAGGTAGCGGCACCGCCGAGATTGAGCTGAAGAAGGGCGAGAAGATTAAGCTGACCACCAACAAGGAATTCCTGGAGAAGGGCTCCCTGGAGATTGTGTACGTGGACTACGTGAACATTGTCAATGTGGTGAAGCCCGGCAACCGTGTGTTCGTCGATGACGGCCTTATCTCACTGATTGTGCGCGAGGTGGGCAAGGATACCCTTACCTGCGAGGTGGAGAACGGCGGCTCTCTGGGTTCCCGCAAGGGTGTGAACCTGCCAGGCGTGCCCGTCGATCTGCCCGCTGTCTCCGAGAAGGATAAGAGCGATCTGCTGTTCGGTGTGGAGCAGGAAGTGGACATGATCTTTGCTTCGTTCATCCGTAACGCCGCTGCTTTGACCGAGATCCGCAAGGTTCTTGGCGAGAAGGGCAAGAACATCAAGATCATTTCCAAGATCGAGAACCAGCAGGGTATGCACAACCTGGACGAGATCATCGAGGCCGGTGATGGCATCATGGTGGCCCGTGGAGATCTGGGTATTGAGATTCCCGCCGAGAAGGTGTTCCTCGCCCAGAAGGCCATGATTGCCCGTTGCAACAAGGCTGGCAAGCCTGTGATCTGCGCCACCCAGATGTTGGAGTCCATGGTGAAGAAGCCACGTCCCACTCGCGCTGAGATCTCTGATGTGGCCAACGCCGTGCTCGATGGTGCCGATTGCGTCATGTTGTCTGGTGAGACCGCCAAGGGCGAATACCCGCTGGAGTGCGTCCTGACCATGGCCAAGACCTGCAAGGAGGCCGAGGCTGCCCTCTGGCACCAGAACCTCTTCAACGACTTGGTTCGCGGCGCTGGTACCATCGATGCCCCTCACGCAGCTGCCATCGCTGCCGTTGAGGCTGCCACCAAGGCCAAGGCCTCCGCCATCGTGGTGATCACCACCAGCGGCAAGTCGGCCTTCCAGGTGAGCAAGTACCGCCCACGCTGCCCCATCATCGCGGTCACCCGTTTCGCGCAGACCGCCCGTCAGGCCCATCTCTACCGTGGCCTGGTGCCACTCATCTACAAGGGTAGGTCTTCCGCTCTTCCAAGTCGCAAGTTCTTTAAATTATAACTCTGGTTTTCACTTGCAGAGCCTGCTCTTGATGACTGGCTGAAGGATGTGGACATGCGCGTGCAATTCGGTTTGCAGGTCGGAAAGAAGAACGGCTTCATCAAGACCGGCGACTCCGTCGTGGTGGTCACCGGCTGGAAGCAGGGCTCCGGCTTCACCAACACCATCCGCATTGTGTACGTTTCTATACCAACATCTTGATATTTCTATCTATACAAACATTATGTTGATAATACTAACGCAATTATCTATCTTTTCAGCACCGTCGAATAAACTTTGCTGCTCAGGAAGTACCTGGATGCGTCGAAGCTGCCGTGGGCGTCGCGCTGATTACTGTTAATAACCAAGTTAATTTATTAATTACACAATATTCGGAATATTGGAAACTGCAGGAGGCTGCTGGAACCGCTGTCAGAAGCGCCGAAGGCCGGCCCAGGCCTCAAACAGACACACAAATATAATATACCATTGTTGAATAATATAGATTTCTTCAAAAATTGTAATAAAGTCATCACTGTATTTATGTACGTATGGAAAGAATGTGCAATCTGCCTGTACTTGTGTAGATTTCTGGTAAAAAGTTTGAAAGCGCGAAAGATCCACGTTCAGTTCTTTGTAGGCAATGATTTTATACGTTTTTGACAGGTAACACTATACTTTCAATTTTTGTTTCGGTGTATCAAAATTTATTCAAAATTCATCCATACGCAAGAATCCTTAGCCGAGGGTCCAAAGTGCCCATATGTTCCACTTGCCTGTCAAACCTAAGATATCGCTGCTATGCCAGCAATTGCAAGAAAGAGAAGGTAAGTCGTTGGTAGGTTGGGTGACAGTCATCCGCTAATGAATCCTTTATAGGAACCACCGAAGTTCCGGCTGGACCGTGGACCATTCGCCTCCCAGTTGGATTACCAGTCGCGACTGCAGTTCCAAGCACCTGCCCTAAGTATCCCCCTCAGCAGCATCATATGCACCATTGGACCCTCATCCAACTGCCCAGAAGTGCTCCTAGAGCTCATCCGGGCAGGGATGCGGGTGGTGCGTATGAACTTCTCTCACGGCACTCACGAGTACCACTGCCAGACTATACAGGCGGCTCGTAAGGCCATTGCCATGTACGTGGAGCAAACGGGTCTGCCCAGAACCTTGGCAATTGCACTGGACACCAAGGGTCCGGAGATCCGGACGGGAAAACTGGCCGGTGGCGATGATAGAGCTGAGATAGAGCTAAAGGCCGGAGACAAAGTGACATTGAGCACTAAGAAGGAGCTGGCAGACAAGAGCACTAATGAGAATATCTACGTGGATTATCAGAGATTACCTGAACTGGTCAAACCAGGAAATCGCATCTTTGTAGACGATGGATTGATTGCATTGGTTGTGAAGGAATCAAAGGGAGGGGAAGTGATCTGCCAGGTGGAGAACGGTGGAAAACTGGGCTCCCACAAGGGAATCAATTTGCCAGGTGTTCCCGTGGATCTTCCCAGCGTAACGGAGAAGGATAAGCAGGATCTTAAATTTGGGGCTGAGCAGAAAGTGGACATTATCTTCGCATCGTTCATCCGAGACGCAAATGCTCTGAAAGAAATCCGCCAAGTACTTGGACCGGCGGCGGAGTGTATAAAGATCATCTCTAAGATTGAAAACCAACAAGGTCTGGCTAACATAGACGACATTATCCGTGAATCAGATGGCATAATGGTGGCCCGAGGTGATATGGGCATTGAGATACCCACGGAGGATGTTCCCCTGGCCCAGAAATCGATTGTGGCCAAGTGCAACAAGGTAGGCAAGCCTGTGATCTGTGCCACCCAGATGATGGAGTCGATGACGACCAAGCCGCGACCCACTCGAGCGGAAGCCTCAGATGTGGCCAACGCTATTTTCGATGGGTCCGATGCCGTGATGCTGTCCGGCGAAACGGCCAAGGGAAAGTATCCGGTGGAGTGCGTGCAGTGCATGGCCAGGATCTGTGCCAAGGTCGAAGCAGTTCTGTGGTACGAAAGCCTGCAGAACAGTCTTAAAAGGGAAATCCGAACCAGTGCCGCCGACCACATTTCGGCTGTTACCACGGCGATCGCGGAGGCGGCCACAGTGGGTCAAGCCCGGGCGATTGTGGTGGCCAGTCCGTGCTCCATGGTCGCCCAAATGGTCAGTCACATGAGGCCGCCGTGTCCCATTGTGATGCTCACGGGTAGCCAATCCGAGGCGGCGCAATCTCTGCTCTTTCGAGGCGTCTACCCACTCCTCGTCGAGGAAATGGTTATTGGCAGCTTTAACTTTCGACGCATCATGCAGTCGGGTCTGAAGCTGATGGGCAAGATGGACATCCTGGAGCCGGGTCAGAAGGGATCGGTGGTGCTGGTCAATGCCATGTCGGCGGAAAAGATCACCTTCCGCCTGTTCACCATCCGTCAGCAGACCAAGGAAGAACGGGATCAGGAGGAGCGATGCCGACAACTGGCCCTGGAGCAGATCTGCAAGGAGAGAGCTGAAAAGGAGGCCTGCAGAAAGCTCCAGGAAGCGGAGGAATGTCGGAAGAAAAAAGAGGCAGAAAAATGTAAGCAGTCCGAAGAGAAACCAAAGCCTTGCCCGAAGAATAAATGTCCAAGGCAGGATGATAAAATCTCAAAATGCATGCAAGTGCAAGCGAAGGCTGAGGAAAGAACGTGCAAAGAAGAGTTTGAACAGATGTGCAAGTTTGCTGAAGAGAAAGAGGAAGACGCTGAAAAATGCAGGAAAGCGGAAGAAGAACGACAGAAAGAGGAAGCTGAAAAGTGTAGGAAATTGGAAGAAGAAAGGAAATGCAAGTTGGCTGAAGAGAAGAAAAGAAATGAGGAGGAACTTAAGATAATAGAAGCAGAAGTGGCCAAGCTGGAAGCAGCTGAGAAGGCCAAGCGTTTGAAGGAGGAAGAGGCAAAGAAAGCGGAACTAATGAACTGCAAAAAAATGAATGAAGCGAAAAAGAAGAAGGAACAGGCTGAAAGGTGCAAGAGGGAGCAAAGGGAAAGGGAGCTAGCTGAAATGGAAAACAAATGGAAGCAGGTTGCGGAGAAAAGGAAGAGAAAGAGGGAAGCAGAGATGTGCAGGAAAATTGAGGAGGAAAAAGAGAAAGCCCAGGCAGAATCGGCCGATAAGCTTCTAAAAGCCGTGTGTGAAAAACTAAAGCAATCTCTCTCGGATACTGACAACTCAAAAAAGGGCAAGAAATAGAGTGGAAACTTGTGGCAGATTCATATGGAATTTTTTAGGCTTAAAATGCAATGTTACACACTGAATTCCAAATTAAATAAATTTGATTTTCTTAAAACTTTGAGAAAACTTCAGAAAGCTATTATGAAAAACTATTAACGCTAACAAAACTGAAATGTTTCTGAAAATGCTTAGTGGTCATCAATTTGGTGCCCACCCAAATCACCAACGATTTACAAAGCCCCTCAAATCCAGAATATTCGTGTTATGTCTTTGCAAATATTTCTGCTGTTAATTCCACAAATAATAAGGTTCATATATTTTCTGATTTTTAATTTTCCCGCCCAGCAAACATATGCTCTCGCTATCCAACACTAAGCAAATGAATAGATATATATCGGATATTTGAAAAATAACCTATCGAATCATTAAAACATAATACTAATTTAATGAGTACTGCCAACAATATATAGTCATTATGCCCGTTTACATCTCAGTTGATAATATAAACACGTATACATTGGACATCACATGTAAAAATCATCATCATATTTCATAGAACCAACTTTTCTATATTAATCGTCTACAATTGATTTCACCACAAGATGAGGAATGGTGAAATAATTATCTCAGCTGCTTCATGTGGGCACCAAAACAAGGCTTGTTATAGTGTGGTCTTCATCGGGAGAAGAAGCAACTACCATGTCATTGCCCACGACCAGAGCCACCACGGCCACGACCACTCACGCGGTGGTCCAGGCTGTGGAAACGTATATTCAGAACCAGAATTTGCTCGGCGAGATCGCTGAGCTGGACGACATGCTGTACGATTTGGTGGGCATGCACAAGGACAACGAGCTGGCCCTGAAGCGGGTGCTGCAGTGCATCCACAATCTGTTGCAGACAAACAGCAAATATAACGTTCGCTTTGGCCCAAAAGTGTTTCACAAACTGGTATCCGTGGTGATTGCCGACAGTCGGGAGGATTCGGCCAGCCGGCGTCAACTGGTGGCCAATTTACTGGTCTGCGTGCAGCTTCATGTACGGAAGTTCCCGCGTATCGAAGCTAAGTTCGTGTTGCAGCAGCTCTGGTCGCTGAGTCAGAGCAATGAGCGTCAACCACATGCGGCCCAGATTCTGGTACACCTTTTCGATGATTTTGTCAACAATTTGGGAACAGAATGCGCGCAGGAACTGCTTGTGTTAGCGCGGAATCTTCTGCAGTCTGATGTGCGCGACGATCGCCGCTCAGCGTATTTTCTTATGCGCAAGTTGCAGGAGATCGAAGATGTGCTTGCCGCTCTGCAGTGTAGCGAAGTTCAGTGGAGCGCGTATGTGGGCATCATGGAGAACCTGGAGGAGCAGCGGTCCCACCTCGTGCTGCCCACTTTGAGCACCCTGCTGCCACGCATGGGCTTGATGTCAAACAATTTGAGTGAGGATTGGCTGGTTTGGCTGAGGCTTCTGTGCATACGCCTTCTAGGCGACAACAACATCCTCGTTCTGCGCTGGACCCTTAAGTACTTCCTCTCCCATTTTAGCCTAGAACAGATATCGCGCTTCAATCTTCTAACTGAATTCCTGGCTGCTACCAATCGAACCCAGCTGTACAATCCGGAGGTGCCCGATTGCCTTACTAAGCAGCAAATAACTGATTTCGTTGCGGAATTCCCGGCCGAGATTTTGCTGGAAGCGCTTGTTTGCGTTCCGTGGCACGCAGTCCCCCTGATCCACTGGCTTCAAACCTGGGAACTAAAGCAGATGCCGGTGGTTTCCAAGGAGCTGCTGTTTCAGTTGGGCGCTCGCGTTCGCTCCCTCCAAAATACTGTGTTACGTGGTGAAGCTATCAATTATGTGACTTTCTCCCTAAGTGTAAGTTTAGCTCTTATAGAAATTTTAAACGTTATTTGATTTAAAGCTTTTTTCAGGCGACAATTGACAGTCTGTCCTTGGGTGACGACCTGCTCTTCATGGAGTCTTTGTACAATACCATCGACCGGTATCAATCCCATTCTCAACTAGCAGACAAAATAAACAAATGCAGTGATTTTGAGAAACACATTGCGTGTTTCAACATTCGTTGCTGCGAGCTTGTATCTCAAATGGACTATAAACACGATGTATTTGTTCCATTCTTGGAGAAATTACGAGCAGTTCCAAAAACCAAGCATGGGTGGTGGCGACTTTTACCCATATTTCTCCACCGTGAACTGGATCATCCGGTAAAATATTTAGATTTCTATCGCTCTGTCTATGATGTGGACACATCTTTCCTTGAGAGTGGTGTGACTCTAGAGCAGATGCAAGAGCACCTTCTTAACCGGTTGGATTGCCAGACCAGAGAGGAGAAGTCCTTTGTGCGCGAGCACTCAGTAGATCTTTTCGTAAAGATAAATCTTCCGACCTGGAGCAAGTTGGAAGTGCTTAACCTAAATCCCCTTGAACTTTTGGATCAGGGCACTGAAGAAACATTTGCCACCTTGTCGAATACTTTGTCCACACATGATAAACCATTGACTGACGAGAATGTGTTGCCCGCTTTTATCTCCCGTTTGGGAAAACTTAAGGCCAGGGAAACGTAAGTATTTCATATAAGCTATGTTTTTATAAGTCAAGTTATTAATTCATTGATCCTCAGGCAAGCCATCCTCAAATATGCTGTGAAAAATCTTTCATCAGAAGAGTATGAAAAGTGCGTAGTGGATGTTTTGGATAAAAACACCTTTCTTTTGGGTTTAATGGACTGTGAAGATTATATTAAAGCACCCTCATCGTTTGTTATAAAAAGAATGCTGGAAGGAGAAACCACTACTGGCGATGCACGGCAAGAAAATAAATACTTTATCGTGAAATTACAATGTACAACGTTAATGATAACCCCGCAGCATAGAACGCGCTTTTGAGCAAATCTCGGATCCTGGAGCCATGAGTCGAATAGGATTTATTCACTATGCGAAGAACAGCACTGGTTTGGATATCAGCTCCATCTGTGATGCATTGCTTAGAATGAACAATGAATTGTCAAGAAAAAAACCGCGCTATTTTGCAAACTGCAAAGAGCACAGAATGAAAATGCGAATAGGCAAAGCTTTGCTTGACCTAAGCGACAGATGGAAATGGTCGGATAACCTGTGGGAAGCCGCCTTGTGCCCCAGCGATCAGCCTAACATAAGCTTTATGTACGAGTACCTTGTCTCCAAAATGCTGCCCAGCATCGACCCATTGCTTGAGCAGTTAAAGCTCCTGGCAACTCTAAAGCCGAGCCAGCAAAGTTCGCTTGTCTCTGTAGTCCACATATACTGCCTGTCTCGCTGGGAAAGTATAAACCATGAACAGCTTTCCGAAGTATTTGCCGTCCTGTTACCTCTCACAATGGGAGCTAATTTTCAGACTCGTTTGCTGGCCCAATTGGTTTTGCATCGGCTTTGTAACGAGTGTATGGTTCGTAGGTAATGCAATAATTATTATACTTCCTGCTGTCGAATGTTTTTATTGATATTTTTGATATTTCTAGCATTCAAATGCCAGTAGCTGATGCATTAAAAAAGTCCATCGAGGTTACATTGAGCGAAAAATTAAATGAGTTTCAAAGCGAAGCACGGCTTTTGTTGCCGGAACTAGGCATATATTGCCCTACATCCGTTTCGGATGCCATTCTGTGGATGACGAATGCACCATTTGATGAAAACGTCAGTTTCGTTAACTGCTCGTATGCCTTTAGAATGAGACTAAATCGCGCCCATGAAACGTTTAAACGAAAACAATTGGTTCTGACAACTGAGATTGCATCGCCTTTGACTGCATTGAACGGAAATGTGCAGCGGAAAATGAATCCCGTTGGAGATATATATCCGGAGAGTGACTTTGTTGCAGCGAGCAAAGCTAGAGATGACCACGAACTTATTGTGGTGGCCTCGCTTATAGACAAATTGCCAAATCTAGGCGGATTGGCACGCACCTGTGAAGTTCTAGGTGTTAAAACCCTAATATTGGGTCTGAAATCCCAGGCGGAGAAAAGTGATTTTACAAACTTGAGGTATGAACATTTAATATCGCGATTCCCTGGCTATGTTGCTTCATATAATTATAATTTTCAAATTATTTTAGCATGACTGCTGAGAAAACTTTAAACATACTTGAAGTGAATCCGGAATCGCTTGCTGGATTTTTGCTGGAAAAGCAAATGGAGGGGTATAAAATCGTTGGAGCCGAACAAACTGCACACAGCACCAACTTTGTTGACTTCAAGTTTCCCAAGAAGAGCATTCTACTTTTGGGGTTCGTAACTAACACATTAGGCGTATTTTTTTGAATACTTATTGATCTGCATCCCTCCTTAGGCATGAAAAGCATGGAATACCAGCGAACCTTATTGGATTCTTGGACTACGCCGTCGAAATTCCCCAGTATGGTTTGGTGCGCTCTCTAAATGTACACGTGGCTGGATCACTTTTTATTTGGGAATATTGTAAGCAGCACTTAACGAAGGAGTAAATCCTTAATTTTACTACCAATAGCGCAATTCACAAATGCCTTTTACAAATAAAACAAATACATCAAAATACTGTAAAAATGTACAACAAATCTTTATAGCTCCTACTTTTATTTATATTTAAAAAAAAAATGTTTTTGCTTACACTGGAGCTAGTCATGGAGTTAATTAAAGTAACCAAGAATTTATCATGCATTTAAAGGTTCGCGCCGTGTTATCGATAAGCACAATGCTTCGATGACTTGTTGGCGCTAGGCGAAAACAGCTGATCTAAAAAACATAACAAACCAATTATAAACAACTTCGAAAATACGGAAATGAGCTTCTCGGAAAACACCTCCGATTCGGAATGGTAAGAGCTTGGAGATGGAAAATCTCAAATTCTCTACAAAGACATTGCTTATAGGAAGGCGGGCAAAGCGAAAGTACAGCGGACTGCAAAGCAATCTTTAAAGCGGGACAAGGAGCAGAGAACTCTGAAGCCCAAATATAACCAGAAGTTCTGCGAAAAGTGGCTCAAGATTTTCGATCCGTGGCTCCGACGGGCGGCCGAGGATCCCAACAAGCCCTTCTGCCGCGCCTGCCAGTGCACCATGGACTGCAATCGATGCCACCTGGTGCGGCACGAGCGAACCACCAAGCACAAGCGTAATCTAGAGGCTCTGCTGACAAAGGGCGAAGGCGCGGCGCTCCAGGAGTTCCGGATTCGCCAGCAGCGTAGCAAGTACTATCACCAGCGTAAATTGGTGGTGATGGAGCCCATGGCTGAGAACCACGAGTTGGAGACGCCTTCTCCCCCAGAACCTATCCCTATGGTGGCGGTTTTAGATCAATTATGCTCTTCTGCAGCCATAGAGAAGACGGTACCCAAGCAGGAGCTCTTGTCAGAGACAGAGGCCACAACAAAGGTGATTGAACCCTCGTCAAGTCATGCCAATCGCAGTGACTGCTCCTCTTCCGCCTCTAAGCAGGAGGGCATAAAATTATTAATGCAGATTCATCAGGATAAAAACGAACTAATGGAATCCTTTCGGGAGCTGATGGGAAGCCAAAGGACTTTAAATCATACACCGCCACCCAAGGAGAAAAATCATGTGGATCTGTTTTTTGAAAGCGTCAGTTCCAGCGTGAAAGCCCTCTCGCCAAAGTTGGTGGCGGAAGCCAAGATGCGGGTATCGCAGCTGATCTGTGAACTCGAGCTACGCGGCCTCAGTGAAACCAGTCAAACGGATGCACTGAATCCAAACCCTCACGCTAATGAACCCCTCGTACTCCGCCCTTCATGACAAGGGATTGCCCATCAGCCTGGGTTTAGAGGCGTACAATAGTCAAGTGCATACGTTAATTTCCAATTTGAAAATAAATTATATCGATTTTTATACGATCAATGCTAAGATACCTTATTTGTTAGTTGTATAAAACAAACTATTCAAAGTAGGTGCCACAAATTGTATAGGACTGCTTATCGATAACTTCGATAGGCTAGCGGCATTTCGGCTTCTGACATCTCCAATGCGCGGCTGTGTTTACTTAAAATGTTTATTAAATTTTTGCTGGTTAATGATAGTTAAAGTCTTAAATGTCGAAGTAATCGTAACACAAGGATGTCGAGCACTTCAAATGCGTATGATAAGATGACCACTAAAAATGGGGACAACGAAGTGCATAAAACTACATACATTAAGGAAGAAGATCATTTAATGGTATTATTAAAATTTCATTAAATATACCAATCTTAAAGCGAAATTATGCATTAGCAGCACGAGAGGAAAAGTTCGCTGCTCATCAAACGGAACAACATAACACTACGGAGAAACCAGTTGCCCTATTCAAGACCTATGCCCCAGAACCGCATGGAACTTGTTAGGAGCATCGAACAAGACCGTGAACTTCTGGCGGCGTACTTCAAAAGATTGAGCTCCCAGCGAGATGAAGTCCCTTCATCTGGTGCAGCTCCACCGGCGGCTGATCCGCCAGTGCCTCAGAGGAACAGCTACGATCTATTCTTCGAGAGCGCCTGCATCAGTGTCAAAGGTTTGCCACCCAAACTGGCGGCGGAAGCCAAGAGCCGCATCTCCCAGATTATTACCGAGTTCGAAATCCGCGCCATCTCGGAAATGGAGGAGCAGGAGTGCAAAATGTTGGCGCAGACCAGAATGGATAATGCGTCCGGGGTTGTCTACGAGTTTCGTCCCTGCTCGTAAAGTAGGTTGGGTGTTTGCCTTTCAAGTACCTTAACTCATCCTATACACTTCACATTTGGACGCCACCTAACTCTGGACTATCAAAATTCGTAATAAAATTTAAAGCGTTCTACATCCAGTTAACACACAGGCGGTCATTTGGTCGCGTTTCGGCCCTAAATTATTGTTTTTCGTTGGTTTAAAGGTGGATCGATGGCCGGAAAGCTGAAAGTATGCATCATTGGGGCTGAGGGCTGGTAGGTATTTCCAATTGGCAAGTCTTAGACACATTTAACAGCTGTGAAATGTTTCTTTTAGGGGCTCGGCCATTGCCGCCGCCGTAAGCAACAATGTCTTGGTGGGAGACTTCGACAGCCGGGTGCATTTATATGTGTCCGATGAAATGATTCGGGACACTGCCTTATCGGAGATCATCAACACTCGTCACGAGAATGTCAAGTATCTGCCTGGGATCAAGCTGCCCAATAACTTGGTGAGGAAATTCTTGCAGTGTTTTGGTGTCTGCATAATACTAAATAATTTTGTATTAGATCGCTGTAAATGATCTTTTGGAAGCTGCCCAGAACGCAGATATCTTGGTATTTTCCACGCCGCTTGAGTTCGTGCAATCCTACTGCAACATTCTGTCTGGAAATGTTAAGGAGTCTGCCTTCGCCGTTTCTATGACCAAAGGCTTGATGAGCAAGAATGGCGAGGGGATTGGGCTCGTATCGCACGTCATCAACGAGAGTCTGGGTATCCCTTGCTACTCTATGATGTCGGTACATAGTGCCATGGAAATGGCTCAGGGAAAGTTGTGTGAGGTGACTATCGGTTGCAGCGATGGTTCTCATGCTAAGCTGTTGATCGCTGCCATGCAAACCAATAACTGCAGAGTTATTTCTGTTAATGACGTTGATGGAGTAGAGTTGTGTGGAACGCTCACAGACATTGTTGCCTTGGGAGCAGGTTTCATAGATGGACTGCGTCTTGGCGAGAATGCCCGGTTGGCTGCCATCCACTTGGGTATCAAGGAAATGATGCGGTTCATCAAGACTTTCTTTCCCTCATCCAATATGACCACATTCTATGAGAGTTGTGGCGTGGCCAACACGTTGGCATCAAGCTTCGGTTTGTACAAAGAAAAACTCTCCAAATAACAATGTGTAATATCAACTTCTTACATTTAAAGTCGATAAAAATGTCACATTTGCCAAGAGCCTAATAACATCAGGCGAAACTATTGAAGAATTAGAAGCTAACCTCCACAGCGGCCGCAAGCTTTTGGGTCCTATGGTGGCCAGTGATGTAAATACATTTTTGGAGAATGAGCTTATGCAACACGAGTATGTAGAAACTGAATCTATTCGTTTTAAAGTCTTAATAAATCTCCTAAAATTCTAGATTTCCGCTTTTCTCGGCCATTCATCTTATATGCCAAAGCGAGGCTCCGCCGGAACTAATGATAGAAGCACTGAGAAACCACCCAGATCTAAGGTAAGATCCAAGTGTAATGTTCAATTAGCCTTAACCCATCATGTTTTTTACAGCAACTCATCCATTTCAAATTTTCTAAACAATGAAAAGAATGAGCTTAAAACGGACCAAGGACTGCTCCAACTGAGGACTGCTTTAGATAAGATATTGGCCGAGGCGGGGAACGAAAACGTTAAGAAGCTCAAGGTGATGGACGACTGGACAGAAGTAAACGAATATGACGTTGAGGAGACGTACGAGCAGAAAGTGGCGTCACAGGTCTCCTCTCTTGAGACCGAAAATATTCCAAAGCGTCTGAGTGTAAAAGCTGCCAAGCTCTATAATGATATCCGGGACGGTAATGTTGGGGTGGCCTTTAAAATGGACATCGATGAAGGCGATCGCCATGTGCGGCTCTTGCTGGAGAAGGAAGGCGGAATGTCTAGCGATACAGACAAGACAGTAGTGTTATCCAGATTGACTGCAGGCCAAGAAAATGACAATACCAGGCTGGGCCATGGACACTCAACCAACACTTCCGCGGGATCCGATCTTATGGTCAGCAAAGGCATTCCCAGTGGCTTGACTACGAACGAAACGCCTGATGTCCTAGATTTAAGTTCCGAGTCTGAGCCACTACAATCGTCTAAACAAAACAGTCAACTGCTTGAGGATGCAGAGTCAAATTTCTCAGAGCGTTTAAAAGTGGATCAACTGAAAGAGCAGATTGATAGACAAGAAACAGCCAATATGAAAGCCCAAGAAAATCTTATAAAATCTATTAGGCAAACTATTCAGGCTCTGGGTGATAAAGATAAAATGGAAAACCTAATCGCCAAAAGCAAAATGGAGGAGGATCCCTTTCAACTAAAAAGCCAAGTTGAAGGGGAGGCTTTGCAACTGAAAAGCCAAATGGAAGAGGAATCTTTTGAACCCAAAAATCAAACAGAAGAAGAATCTTTCCGAAGTAAAAGTCAACTAGATGAGGAATCTGCTTCGCTAAAAGGCCTAATGGAAGAAGAAAATTTTCAGCTTGAAAGCGAAATGCAAGAGAAGACAAGCCTATTGAAAAGTTCAGCAGATAAATCTGAATTTGTTGGATACAACGCTGAGGAAGAGCAAGCCATAGAAGAACCAACAGATAACCGTCAGTATAAATTAAGATCAGAAGCTGATAACCTTAAAGCACTTATGTTCACCGATTCCGAGGAGCCCTTGGAGTCCGAGAAGCACATTGAAATGAAACTTCAAGACGAAAACGATTTTGATCTGGATGAGGAGCCCGCAATAGGAAAAAAAGACCGTACTTACACCAAAGAGAACTTGGAGCTCGAGGAGCTGCTTGAGTGGCAGAAACTAAAGAAACTAGATAAAGACCATCAACATTATTCTGGATATTCAGCGGAACTGGAAGATGCGACAGCCCTTGAAAACAACGCGAGGTTTCCAATAGAGCATGATGATAGGTTGCAGGATGTGGATAGCTATCAGCAAAAGGAACTCGTTCAAGTAAGAGCTGAGAATAAAGAGCTTAGCGAGGAAAGGCCGGATCAAAATTATGATGAGGTTAACTTGCGCCACCACAACGATATGAAAGCTAGTGAGTCTGGGCACCACGAGTGGGATTGGCTAATGAACAATGAAAAGATCGATTCCGACGAGCAGCAGTTGTATGCCAACGAGAGGATGGAAACTCTTAGCGAATCTGACCAGGATAAGCTGCAGAACCTGAACAATCAACTAAAGGATGCCTTGCAGCATGATTTGGATGTCATGTCGGCTAGCAGGAATAATGAATCAAATGATGTGCTGTCCGAGGGCGACTTCAATCCCGAAGCTGCTAAGAAAGCCACCGAGCAACCAAGGAACCCCACTCCTACCCAAATCCCCGCAGTCCCCTTGCCAGTAACAGTGCCTAATAAACAATCCCATATCCGCGAGGGCAGTCCACAGTTCGAGAATCAGCCTAAATCTGTTCCGCCACCCTCGCCAAAAACTAAACCAAATGCACCTGTCGAATTTGGGAACATGGACGAAGCGTCGAATGAATCGGCTTCTGACCAAATGGTCCCTAAGAGTAGGAAAATATCAAAAACTGAGGCGGTGATTGAGCCAGTCGCTAAGGATGTGTCCGTGGCGGAGCCAACTGAGTCATTGCATACCGAAAAGGAAAGTTCACCAGCTAAGCAAAGGTTGCCGCAAAGCAAAAGAAAGCAAAAAAGTGGCGTAAGAAAACCATCTAGTGATGCAAATCCCAGTAAGGCATCGCAAGAAACCGAGAAACATTGGAAAACTACAGAACACCAGAAGGCACAACTGGCAAAGGTGGGTAAGAAGATCAGCGTTATGCGAAGAGGTCAGGATCGTCGTGTTAGCTACAGGGGTCAGAACCCCTTCAGCGGTGAACCGGACCTAGAGTCTAGGCCCCCGATGGACACCAGCTTTGAAAAGGACAAAACGGGGGAGTACCAGGGACTGGGCCATCAGCGTCGCAAAGTAGTCGTGGCGCCGCCCTTTCATCCGCCTATCAATCCACGAGTACGCGTGCCACGACCACCTTTCGATGGACGGGATCATGAGTTCCATACGATGACTACCACGACGGTGGTCAGTCACCTTGCCCCAGCACCGAAGTGGTCGTCTCTGCCCACGACTCTAAAGCGCAATCGCCCCTCCCTGGTTGCCACCATACAGGTCAAGCACTTTGCCGCTCTGCCCAGTCAGGCAATGCCGAGCCCCATATTGAAGATGCCGATGGGAGTTCCGCGCACACCCACTTTTTCAAAGATCCTCTGCGCATTGCAGTTAGGATTGCTGGCCTCCTACCTCGCCTGCAGGAAGAACTAATCTCTAGACTAGTAGCTCGTCTTTTCGATTCCCCCCATTGAAGCATCATCAGCTCTAATGATTATAGAATACTTTTCTTTTTAAAACAATAAAAGGTGTTAGCTTTAACCTTAATAAAAGGTGTTAGACTTAATCTTAATAAAATGATGTGTGTTAGATTTATGCTTATGGCTATAACCATATCAGTTCTTGCAGGTGCTCCTGCTGCAGCGGCACTACATGTTGACGGTGGAAGATCGGTCGATCCTCCTGCGATTGTAGTGGCCGAAAGTTCTTTTGCAACGGCCGACCGCGCTCATCTCGAAGGTTCCAGAATTTTGGCAGATCCTGGTGCGAAATGGGAATGACCTCACCGAACACATGCCACTGAACCACCGGTGAGCATGGTGGGGTCGTTAGGGAGCCCTTGTAAGTGTAAAAGTTTCCCCTGTCAAGGTTTCCCAGCAAGGATCCAAGTGTGATCCGTTCCTGCACAGTGAAGCTGGCATTAAAGTTGCCCAAATGGAGAAGGGAATTAAAGATTTCAGTGAGTCCGGGCTGATAAAAGACGGGTCCCAACTGAGAGTGAATTGGAATAGGTAAGCTAAGCCTAGATATAACAAATCCTGTATCGCTACTTACTCGAACAACCTTAAAGAGCACCGCCAGTACTGTAACGCCATCCCTGTACTTAAAAGCCTCCTGAAGGTTTAGATACTTAGTGTTACGATGGACTATGTGCATTTCCAGATCGTATCGGCGTCCATTGAGCAAGTGCTCCGAGCCCTTACTTTCAGGTGATCCCCAATGGAAATGCACGGCCTCCGCATCGTAGCAGTCGTGCAAGAGACCTCCAGTCACGTAGGGTCTCGCGCCATAGATCGTCGTTGGAACCTGAAATTCCACTATCAACGGAATGGATAAGTTTTTCCTTTCACTTAGAAGTCCGTCCTATAAATACCTGTGTGTCCACTATTCTTAACTGTCACCAGCTCATCGAAGTACTCATCATATAGCGCGAACACCAGAGGGGGCAAGCTTAGGGGTATCGCCTTGCGTCTACTAATCGCAATGGGCGACTGTTCAGATCCCCCACAATATGGGTATTTTTCCGGCCACCTCTCCGGGGACTTGTAGTCGAAGTCAGTCGACCTGAAATCTGTAATAAAGTTATCTAAATAAAAATGTTATACAATTTCTTAACAATTCTAGCAATTTGAGCCACTTCTTGGGTAATCTTCAGTTCCCATATTTAAAGAAATGAGTGATGAGTTTCCACCACCAATGGTGGTGGTCACTTTGCAAACCATTAGGAAGGCCGTTGGAGCAATTTCTGCACTTGCCAATTTCCAAAAACGTCTCCGCAATTTCAGCTATTTCGCAGAGCCTACGGTTATGTCTAAGCGTAGCATAATTGCTTGATTTTGGGTCCGGGACCATGGAAACCTCCTTTTGTTTACATTGTTCCGAGCGATGGATCGCACACGCCGGTCTTATAACAATGGATGGTACTTCGACATCTACTCCGCCCCCGAAATTGACGCGCTCATTGGGTTTCATGGGGCATTTGTGGATGCAAATTTAATTATTGTTATTATTTACAGCCACCGGGTTGTTTGCTATCCATTAGATGAACCGCGATGAGACAGTTTTATGGGCGTCGAGTGTGACATATGAGGGTTCGGTTAGCCGGAGGGGATGGCTCATAAATTCCCGTACGGGTTGGGGCTACGCAATAGGTGACTTTGGTCTCGGCTCGGAAAATCTCAAGATCTGGGCTACGTTGTCTGGGCACGATCAGTCTCCTATCGATGGCGATGGCGTCTCAATACCAAGGTGATCCACAACCGCATCGTATGCGATTCTTTGGACGCGACACACCTCACTGGCTTGCATTTCGGTACTCACTTGCGGCGAACGGCAGCAGAAACAGCAGTCGCTGATAGAAGTCATCAAAAGCCGGAAAGTGCATTTTCCACCTGATCACTCGCTATACGGTATACGTCTTCTAGTCGTCTGCGCCAATCTAGTCCAAATTCGCTCCACACAGTAACCCCTGACAGGAGCCCAAAGATTTCCACGCACGTTGCTCTGCAGACTGAACCACGATCGGCTTAGGCCAAAACCTTTATACCAAAAGGGCCACAGTGGGCCACTGTCTGGGTTTTGGTTTCCGTCTCGTGGACTGGGAGAGCAACATTGTCAAACGCTCCACGGAGCAGCAATAGATGGTAATCTCGACTCGAAGTTGTCATACCCGCTACGGGTACTGCTGCCTGAGCACTATTACCCCGAAATTAAAAACTATAATTGAAAAACTTGGTTCGATAGGGACAAATGGAGATTACACAAATTGAAGTTGAAATTCCTCGACATAACCTTAAGCCGTCTGTTGTATAATATTTGCAAGTGTCCCATCATGTTCCCATGTTCTGCAAGTCCCATCAAAAAACGTTTTAGTTATTTAACTAAGAAAGGAAAAGTTTATTCCCATAGATAAGTTAGTTGTGGATATCTTGGAAATACTTATTCAGTATGGCAACAAAATATTCATAATATATTTAAAACACAGAAAGGTGTTAGTTTCTAAATAAAGTATTATTCACTTTACCATTGTTTACTTAATATTGCAAATACAGAAAGGGTCTCATGACTTAAAATACCCTGCAAGTATTTTTTGTTACAATGTTTTAAGATACATATTTAAAGGTTCTTTTTTAACAAAACCCCACGTGAAACATGTTTGCTTTGATCTCTGCTTATGACATCCTCTTGTAAGTCAGATACACGGCTCTTTGGTTGGTTCTTGAGTTACATGTTAATTTTGGAAGCCTAGCTTAGAAAGGTAAACAGACTGCTCTTGAGATCCAGTTGCTCAGTTTTCGTCAGCTGCAGCTGCAGAATTGAAAGAGTTTTTATTATTTAAAAACATATCGCACAATCAATGAAAATATAGAACATGGCTCTTACATACTTTTATTACTTATACAATACGAACTTGAAACAGCTTTCAGGTGAGTTTATTTAATAAATCAGCAACATTAAAAAACGAATTGATGAAAGGCGCGGGGCAGATATCTTGTTAATAATGGAGATAAAAATTGTGATGGGACATTTTTAAAGTGCAATTTTTCTTACCTTTTACGATACTGAACGTGCTTTATATGAAATTTAATGTGTGACTCAAAAGCATATTACGTGTTCTAAATTTGCCATCGCTTTCTCTTTCGACCAAAGCAACAAGTAAGTAAAAGTACTTCGTAGATGCTAAATAAGGGTCCACAATCAAAACTAACTATTTAAAATGCATTCGTTTACAATTAGTCAACCATGTTGACTGGAATGTAAACATTTCGTTTTAACTCAATTTTATGGCAAAAACAAAAAAAGCAATAGAAAATTTTCAGTAAATGTTACTATTATTGATTTTCCCCAGTCGCGATTCGAAATTGAGCGTAAAACCCAGCGAATCAGCTGTTTGGCGGCAACGACAGCACAACAAAACAATTAAAAATCCGCCGCAGCCGCAAAACAAAACAAATAAAAGCAACAACAAAATAGGCGAAAAACAATAACAAAACCAATACCAACTGCGCAGCGATAAAATTGTTTGCCAATAAGAATCGGGCTTAGTGCGGCATTGGCATCCGAAAGATACAGGAACGTGTTGGCTGCAGCTGCACCGGGAAGACCATGGTTTTCTTCAAGTTCTTGAAGAGCAAACTGTAACGTATATACAGATCAAAACAAACTAAACACACGCAAAAATCCTAATGAAATAGAGATACAACAAAAAAGATACGAAAAAAAGATACAATCCACGAGAATAACAATGCGCGAAATTCAGGCGTAAGTATGCGAAGGTGTGTAGGCGGGTTGTTTACGTCTAGGAAGTATCTGGTGTCCCCCGAGTGTTTGGCTACCTGGTACCCGTACCCACAAAGGTGGAGAATCTGCAAGAGAATCGGAGAACCAGTGGGACTCGAAACTCAGACCGAGAACGCGAACGAGAACGAGGCGAGCAAAACACAAAAATCCAAAACGACGCCGTGCCAGCAAATAGTATCTGTGTGAATGAATGGGCCAGCTTTGTGGGGGTGTGTTTGTGTGATTATGCTGCCGTCTGGACATCAGATAATGCGAATTATATTTTGTTTTTGTCTCGTCATGTTGGCCCAGCCGCGCGTTTTTTGCCGCGCTTTGTATCTATCAGATACACTAGCCGAAAAGTATGTGCGGAATGCGCCGCGCTTTCGTATTTCGGATTGTTTTTTTTTCCTTTTTTTTTTTGGTCGAGGCTTCGCGGGCTTCCGCCTCTGGACCGCGCTTCAATCGCATCCGGACGGTGTCGAGGTGAGCACACGTTGGAGTTCTCTGGTCTCGAATCTCGGTTCTCCGCTCGGCAGTTATACAACAAACATCGGTACGCTTATCATCCGCGAAACGACGTCCGCGTCAGACATGAGGTACTAGCACCTCCAAAAGATTGTAGTTCACCCCCAGCCAACCGGACGACTAAGACCCCCACTAAACTTTATGGTGGATAAAGCAAAAGCAAAATAAGAGGCGAGGTCAGATAAAGCTTAGAATAATGTGCAACTCCGTTGGAATGCGAGGAAAACCTGTGAACCACCGAAATAGTCCTTGAATTGCATTACAAACTTAATCGCAAACGTTTTCTTCTGGAGCGATTAAGGCCTATAATGTTTGTAGGAGTAGTAAAGTGAAGTTTAACAGCATAAATGCCACCTAGGACACATCTTATATAGTGTTGTATCTACGAAACTTTCAATAGTATCTTCTCTCGCCATTCAGCTCCCAATTTATGACTAAGACAAATCGCTTGGTGATTTTGAGGCATGGCGAAAGTGATTTCAACATAGAGAACAAATTCTGCGGCTGGCATGATGCGCCATTGAGTGAATTCGGTGAGATAGGGATTAAATTAAGTTAAGATACCCACTTCATCTAAATTTATTACTTATTTATTGACCAGGCGTCCAGGAAGCCCTGACCGTGGCGATTCCAGCGCTCGCCCAATCTCAGTTGGAATTCGACGTGGTCTATTCATCCGTCTTGAGCAGATCCCGTCAAACGGCCGAATTGATCCTCTCCAAGTTGAACTGCGCCTACGTGCCCATAAAGGAGGATTGGCGGCTGTGCGAACGGCATTACGGAAATCTGACAGGTTGCCGGAAGCGAATGGTAGCCGATCGCTATGGTGAGGAGCAGGTTCAGGCGTGGCGACGGGGATACGACTGCGTACCGCCGCCGATCGAGGAGAACAATCGGTACTTCTACACCATTTGCAGCAATCCCATATTCGATGATGTTCCTCGCGAGGAGTTCCCCCTCGCGGAATCCCTGCACATGTGCGTCGATCGGGTGAAACCCGTGTGGAAGGAGGTCAGGCGGGAGGTGTTCAAAGGCTCTCGGGTACTGATGTGCGTCCACGGAACTGTGGCCCGTGCCCTCGTCCAGCACATTGAGGGTGAGTTACAGTATATTATAGGATGCTTGACAGCTCAAGGGTTACATCGATGGTTACTCCGTAGGAATCTCCAACGAGGCCATCGAAAAGGTTAACATTCCAAATTGCGTGCCACGCGTCTATGAGTTCGATTTGACTACGGGAGGCTTGGTTGGAGCTGCCATCAATCTGGGGGATCAGGAGTATATCAGACGGAAGACAGCCCAGGTGGCAGCCATTGGTGACTGATGGCTGAGCGCTCAGATCGAATTTTGTGGAATTTACATCGATATGTGGCCGCCTGCATTTACTTAAGCCCCTTGGCAAACTTTATTGCCTCTACCGCTTTAAGTCCGAGGAGATCGGCTGATAAGTATATTATGACTACTATTTATTCGTCTACCCCATCTGATATTTTCGGCCAAATATATACACTTTATACAAAATATATATAATGGAGAAGAGTACATATACATAAATGTAAGAAGAATAAGTTATTTCGTTTGATAAATAAAAATTGGATGGTACACCCAGTAAAATCCTTCTTAGTTTCGAAATATATTTTATTAAATTTCTTTTGAAGTTTCATTATGATCCAAAAGGCGATCTAGTAAATGCATTATGTAATACTTTCAGTTGTTGCCACAGCCATTTGCGTGAAGTGCAATCAGTAGTAGCTCTGTTCGTTGTAGAGCGGACTCAAGTTGTTTGGCAGGATGTAGATGTCCTCGGGACGACCGTTGAACACGAAGGGACGCTTCAGGGATGTCAGCTTGGAGTCCTGCTGAGGAACCGGTATGGAGGCGAGTCCAAAGCTCTGCTGCGAGCCTCCGTAACTACCCATCGAAGACGATGACATGGGTCTGTAGGGATTACTAGGCGTAGGTGGCCGCATTCCATATCCACCGGCACCCAAACCAGGTGTCAATGATCCCACTGCCTCGCCTGGGGATCCGTTCACTTGGTAAATTCCTGTGGGCTTTCCGTTGGCCAGGAAGTTCACGGGCAAATTGAAAACGGAACCGTAGGCGGAGAATGAGGGCATTGGCTGGTAGGTCAGCAGCGGTGAGAATCCTCCGCCAAATGGAGCCGTTGGCATATTGGGCAAAAACATATAGGGTGTGGGCGGCACTCTTACGTAGTAGATGGGTGAATTGCGGGCTGGCGACGCGTGATTGGCACCAGGACGTCGACCACCGGAGGCTCTTGACATCACCACATCCTCGAGGTCGTTGCTGGCACCAGAAAAGGTGGGATAGAACATGTCCGGAGCCAGGTAGAGCGGGAAGGGGATGAGCACGGGCTGGGCATAGCCAATGAAGGGCAGCATCTTGGGCATGGCCTCGTAAGGATTGCCCTGCGGTGCGGCATATGGACTCCAGGGGTAGTTAGCAGAGTTGGGCAAACGCGACTCCTGTTTCGACTCCTGCAGCAGCTGATAGGGATCTTGCTCCTCCTCGTCCTCCGATTTCATATCCTGCTCGCCCAATGTGTCCTGGACATACTGCTGTGTGTGGATCTGCTGTCCCTGCGGCTGTTGTTGTCCTGCCTGTTGTCCTTGCGAGGATTGCACCTGCTTCTGTTGGCTCTGCTTCTTCACTAGCTGGACTAGATTGGCTGCCACGGACTCGGCCACTAGTTGCTCCAGCACCAGCAGCATCAATATGATGCTCCACATGTGGTTACCCATTTGATAGCTGTAATTGGATCATGGCATTGGCGGTGAGTACATCTTGTGTCGATCCCCAACTGACCCCAAGCCCCATTCAAGCCGATTTGCATGCTTCGAGCTAGTTTCTCACACTCCAATTGCGCAACCAGCGGATTTTCCCCCACCAGCACAAGTGAGCAACGGAAAAAATATGGCTAGTACTTTGGAGCCCCATTGCCCACTGATATGGGTATACTTCGAAGTGTGGAGTATCCCCATGGTTATAATTCGTAATTAAATCAAGTAGGCCCATTTGGCTTACTAATATCTACTTATTAAATTGTATTCTACTTTGAAGTTAAGCCGCTATATTTCAATTTATTCACCTTCTTATGTGTTCGCCTTTAAAATACTTTAAAATAAGCATTCACTCCTCGATCAGCAAATTATTACAAATCACCCTTAATTTTATATGTTTTCACACTTTTTCCACAAACACTTTATATACAAATTTACCTGGCTTATAAGTTAAGATCGTTGATTGCTTAATTTGGTAGGAGAGTCCCAATCGAAATGCTAACGATTCAATTGGCCCACTGGTCGGCAGGCGCGTTCAACTGGAAATGAGTGTGATCGCGGCCAGAATCGACGCTTTATATAAGGAGGCCTGGCCAGAATCCCCGCATTCCCAGTGGCCAACTCTCTGCCGACGGCGCAGTCGACGGAGCTGCGCAAGCGCAGAATTGAAGAAGCAAAGTGAAGTAGTTGAGAGCGCAGAGTGTTTGGGCCATAAGTTTGTTTGCATTTGATGGGCACTTCTCAGCGATCTAAGGGCATGATTTTGAGGTTCTGTAGCAAGTGATAAATCGGCTAATTGCCAGCGGCTTAAACGCCGGCTTAATTAGCCCTGGCTGTGAATAAACCCCGTCAGCTGCAAATTATATAAATATCCACATGCGATTGCTGCATTTTGCTAGCCAGCTTGGTGCAATCGCGAGCAATGTTAATTACACCGGCAAAAGGTCCCTCGACTGGTGTAACAAGAGCCCTGCAAGAAACGCCCGCGATTATGCATTTTAATTTTTATGACAGGGCAAAAGAAGACGTCGAGTTTGAGTCGGAGATGGGCTCATTAGTCAATGATATCCGCCCTGCATTCCACATGGCACCTAGCACCAAGCACCACGCAGATAGCACCTAGTGCCTGGTTAAAGCACCTGCTGCTCCTGCTGATCTAAAGATCTCTTCCCAGTTGCATAATTGAGCATAATTGTGCGATTGCATCGGCGTGCCTACATATTTAGTTAGTGTGCAACTTTATTGTCCGCCTAACGATTACCAGGCAAGAGCCCGTAATGCCAGTCAAAGAATCCCAGGCTGGCCAGAAAAAAGGAAAGGGAACAGGAGAGAAGAGTCTGTCAAACAGGTCATAATTACGCCAGATACTCCAGATAAACCCCTGCAGGCACTATTAATATTCTAATATGAATAATTTGTTTATTTGTCAAAGCCAGCGGCAGTGGCGCCGGCGTTGAGATTAGAGCAATAATAAATTACGCAGCTAATTAAGCGGCGGCTGCAGCAGCAGCAACATCCACGCAGATGCAAAAGATACAGATACATGCTGCAGATTGCGGCGACTGCCGCAAACAAGCGACGACAATAACGAACGGTTCGTGTTCTATGTGTGTATTACTATTACCCAACTGAAGGCACTATCCCGGAGTCCAGCTTAGAACCAAGCCCAAATCCAAGTCCAAACCCTGCCCGAGCCCGAAGTACCCAACTTGGCCAAGCCCCATGCCACACGTAATTAGCCTTGGAATGTCCTTGTGCACGTGACTAGCCCCGCTCCGCGATACCTCGGGCTCGAGGATCGCAGTCGCCCTGGTGTGGGGCTAAATATAAAACGCGCGTGCCTGCGGATCATCAAACTTGGCCACTTTCCTAACGAAGCCACGTTAGGTGACAATGTCGTTGATGCACTGGCCAAAAAACCATTGCAAGTCGGAATGGCATCTTGTTATGCTCAAACATACGACTATCCAAATCCTGACCAGTCAGACGGTCTGCTGTCAAAGAGATATGGTTTACAATAATCAGTTCGATGTGTTTCAACTCTACTTGCAATGAATAAAAAACCTAAATTTTATATTTTATTTATGGAGTAAGTCAAATAATAGTACTTTTATTGGCTTTCTGCAGTGTAGGATCGGCAGTACTATCTTGGTATCGGTATTCGGAACGTAAACAACTAACAGCTATCAGGCTACAAGGGTTCATTAACACCAACTGACAGCCTGGACACAAACATGGCCCAAACAAAACGCCGTGCTTGCTGGGCCCACTGCTGATGGCCATTGCCACTTGAAAAGGCAGAAGCTCTCGTATTAAATCATCAGCTTCATCATTGCGTCGCTACCGGCACACTCGCTTGAGCATGGCCCATCTAAAGTAAACCACTTTTGTTTTTTACACCAAAAGAGAGATATAAAAAGAAATCGAAGCTAAGACAGAAGATCGGTGGAGAACTGGGTCAGAAGCGGCACGACCACCGACGAGAATCTGAATTATTGAAAACCCCTCAGTAAGTCGCCCTCCAAACAGACTATGTAAACAAATTACTCAGTATCTAAATAGCCTTAAGAGACAATTTGCATGGCGCAATACCTCTATTTCTATTAGTGCGGTTTTAAATTCTTTTATAATTTTGTTGTCTTAAATACCCATTAGCTGCACTTGAATACTCACCCCACACGAGCCACACTCAGCTACTTTCTTTAACAGCAAACACATTTTTAAAAGCCTAATGATGCTGCTTGCAGTTCAGTTCGACAATTTCATTGACACAGTTTTTAAGCAAACAGTGTAGAGCTGAATAAACAAATTGAACAAGCATTTCCGGATAATGTGACTTTCATTGGAACTCAGTGTTATCAGCTTCGTTTTTTTTATTACCTCCTATCAAATGGGTTCAATAAGCTTCAGTTCTTAAAGATTCTTGATAAGAAGTTAGAGTGGGTTTGACAACAAATAGTAGTTTTCACAATAAACTTTTTCGAAGACGAGGTGGCCGAGAGGTTAAGGCGTTGGACTGCTAATCCAATGTGCTCTGCACGCGTGGGTTCGAATCCCATCCTCGTCGGAGGATACCCTTTTTGAAAATATGTACATACATATTGAATATTATCTTTATTACTCTGTTTTGAATTTTAATTTTTTATTTCCTCCTATCAAAAGTATATTGATTTTTACGCTGGAAAGATTATAAATATAATTTATATCGCTAGAAATAAAATAAGGATATAATTAAAAAAGGATTTCGACGAGGATGGGATTCGAACCCACGCGTGCAGAGCACATTGGATTAGCAGTCCAACGCCTTAACCTCTCGGCCACCTCGTCAACTTGGATTTCGCTGTTTTAGATCGTTTTTTCAAAGAATGTATGCAAATTTTTTGCATAATACACTATACGAAATATGTCCTTAATTAACATATGTTTACCAACGATTTTCAAGAATTTGCTTAATCTTTTAATACTTTTCCAATAGAGTTCCTGTTTCTGGGCTTTAGAATATTTGATATTTATTTTTGTAGTGTTTTCTTATAATTAATAGCAAAGTGCTCGCGAAATATACCTTATCAATATTTTTTCTTTTCTCACTTTGTGTGTTCACATTTAGTATTATTTACCAAGTTCGATTTTTAATTTGAAAAGAAAGAAGCTGATGATAGATTACCTTGCTTCAATAATTATGAAGAAATAGTGAAAATAATTATTAAATACTTTCATTATAAAAATAAAAAAGTATGTCGACGAGGATGGGATTCGAACCCACGCGTGCAGAGCACATTGGATTAGCAGTCCAACGCCTTAACCACTCGGCCACCTCGTCCAGTAATAGCGTTAGGCCCAACGGTGCATTCATCCTGAGCGGGTCAGCAATACACATTGTTATCGACAGCAAGCAGTTCAATGCAAGTTTAGAACATTGTCATTGCGGTGTTTTATGTTCTTCAATAATTTGTTTTTAAATGTGAAATTAACCAAAGTATGGAAACGGATGTAAAAATTGGTCATCCAATCCTGTAAGTTGTCACATTTGCCAAACAAAGTGCTTGTTTACTAAGCCTTTCACCGATAAGAACTAACACTGCTTGCCTGCAAAGCAAGCGGTGCACGAAATGAGCATTTGGCTATCAAGGTCACATAAGACGAGGTGGCCGAGAGGTTAAGGCGTTGGACTGCTAATCCAATGTGCTCTGCACGCGTGGGTTCGAATCCCATCCTCGTCGTGATTCTTTTTACAATTTTTTACCTTCATCGTAAGTTGAATAACGTTTTTTATGTTACCCAAAACTAAAAATAAACTTTGTTTACCGAGTCATTAAAACACTGACAATAATGTCCAGATGCAAATCGTGTTTCAATTGAATTTAGAGTTTTACAGCCTCTTTGTCTGGCGGGAGACAATAATGGCCATCTCAGCAGTTTAAAAGCAATGAAAATAGATACATTGATAACAACTTAAGTATCGCTGATGGTCGCATTTGTTGATCTTCTGGACGGGAGATAAGATGCGATGTGCGTGGAGGATACCGGGGTGACCGCTAACTAGATGGATTCTGCAGAAACCGGGTTTATTGACATCGTGAAAAGGGTCATAGCCAGACCAAATGTGACTTGGGATGCCATTAATGGCTCGTTTGGCTCTCAAGGTCGACGGATGAGATCGGCCGTGGGGTGAATCTTTTTGCAAGCCCTGGCGATTCGCATTTAGGCCAGCTTTAGAGATGGCAAATACAGACAATGCCCACTCTCGAAATTAAATTCCAATTGAAATAATAGTTCGCTTTTGCTGCCGTCGGCGAGCAGCCAAAACAATATAAGCCGCCGGGTAATTAACGTCGTTTCCAATGATTTCTTTCTCGTCCGCTGGCCGGCTAATTAATGCATTTAACGCAATTACAATACAAACATCGGGGTATATTATGTTTGCCGTTCGGTTGGGATTTCGTCTGCTTTTCCTTTTAACTGCGCAACTGGTTTTCAATTATCTAAAACTTACTTCTCGATCATTAATGGAAAAGCCAAAGAATTTTTGAGCCATTTGATGGGCGACGTGTTAAAATCCTCCAGCCACTGAAAAAGGCTATAAAGCAATCATTTACGATCGATTCACACATATGTCTATTCCTCGCTTGCTCTGATTGTTAGCCACTTCGAAAGTTTTGCTGGTAGGTATATGGTCAATATAAATCATCAGGTCGGAAAGATATATATCGTGAAATCTTAATTCGGTGTGGGAGGTGATGATGTCTTCGAAAGACCTGGTCATGCTCTATAAGGCTAAGGATTTACATGTCATGTCAGCCAAGTCAAGATACGCATCTTCAGAGACAATTGATCTTTGATGACAGCCGAAGGTCAAAAGTAATTGATGATCACAGATCACAAGCACGCCAAATAATAATTACCAATTTTTGTTTTATTCAGCTGCCATTGCCTTGACATATTTCAGAAGCTTTAAAAAATGTTGTATTTCTTGCTAATTTTTGTGCCACTATGACTTAATGGATTCAATCTTGTTATAGGCTAATATGCTTATAAAGAGGAATCATTTAAAAAATTAAAAAACCAACAATATATGTAGTTGTATTTACTTGAAGAATAGATATTTCTTACTTTACGGATTATCTGTTTATTAATCAGCATATCTAAACGGTTGTCAAATAAGCTAGTAAAACAGATTGCAGCAATTAGAACTCGAACAAAACACGGGGAATCCCCAAGACTTCAGCTTACTCCCCTATGTACTTACTCAGTCACTCTTTCTTTCTTCGCTGGACAGCCTGAGGAGCTCTTTCCCCGAACCACTTGAGCCCCTGGTTATGACTCAATAGACCCAGACTCAATGGATCTTGGACAGCCAGCTGGCAATCCAATTTGCCAGCCAATCGCCCCCGTTCGTTGTCGGTGGAGGCCAAGCTCCACTGGAAATCGCAACGCCCATTTTAACCTGCTCCCTGCCCCGGGGACTTTCACAAAACCCGCGCAAGAATTCGCTAAACGTTTTGGAACGGATGAGCAAATATTGAATTTTGCGGCTGACAATCGATGGCTGGCTAGCAGGTCTTTTCCTTTCGTTACACTTTTCTTTCTGCGTGCTCCACAAATATTTGACTTTCGATGAAAGTCGCTGAGCTGGCGACGTGTTGGCAGTTATGACCCCGATATCCAGGGGGCTAAACTCTCAGAAATGCCAAGTGCACCGCCGAATCGGGATGGTTGGCATAGCGTTGCGGTTGCGTAAGTCTACAGCTTCATTCCGAATGCATTCGATGGAGATCCGATGTGTAGTCCACATGCCAAGCACCCCGAATGACAAAAAACCAAACGCCGGAGACGGAGATGGTGATGGAGACAAAGGCTTAACTTAAAGTGCCCGAACCCCACATGTGAGTCAGTTTATGGGCTCTGTGGGTTTAATGAACCTTGCGAATTTATCGACAATAAAAGATTTGCTATAATTGGCCCATATATAATCGTTGCGATTTAAGCCGGCTGATTAGTCGGCTTACCAGTGACGTACCACTGACGGTGGGTGTTCCCGCCATTCATCCAAATGGATCTTGTAGCCCGACGCTGTGTGTCTTCATAAGCGGCTAATTAAAACGTTGCCAATGTAAATGAAGCCTAAAAGCACCCGCCCTCTCACCATCAACTTCACTTCACGGCGTGCTGGGAAATGCTTAAAAATTCAGTAGCCAAACACGCAAGCGCCAGCAGTCGCAGTCCAGAGACAACATACCAGAGCCGAGAGTTGGAGGTAAGGAGTTAGGAGTTAAGAGTGTGTCTGTCATTCAGACCCGAAGACACCGGCCAAGACTACTGGGTCCCAGTCAGAAACTGAGATCGAGTCTGCTGATGACTTTGGAGAGGTTGATAAACACGGCTGGGTTCTGTACACAGGGAAAAACATATAAGAATCTGTTCCTAACAGCCAAACAAATGATGCACTTTACTGGTGCATATTATCCAAATAATCAAATTCTCAAAAGAAATTATATCCTACACTTAAGATTTAACTATACCAGAAAATCTACGATGTTCATCATTTTCAATGTTCATTCTCTTAAATAAATTAAAATAGTGCATAACTTTTTCGTCAAGTGAGTGCCCAGCTGTCTGTTTTGGTGCCCCGTGCTCGGGCCATCTACTCATATTGCTTCCGTCAGCATTAAACATATTACTCTTAATAATGCCTAAAACTCGGTTCACACAAGGCGCCTGAAATGGGTCTGAGCCAGAATCAGTATCAGTATCAGAATCAGCTGAATCAGAGGCACGAAGACGTTACAGATGCACAGAAAGTGGCGTTTGCAGCTTGTTCGTGATTTGTGTTGGCTAATCGTTAACAATTACAATTAGGCCCCGGACTGACCGTTCTGCTGGCAGGTGGTGCGTGCAGTTGGCTGTGAGAACGGGTATTCTCCATATATCTATATATATATATAGATTTCGATTCCATTGGCCATTTGGCACATGCGAGAGCTTACGCACTTCAACACACACTTTAAACCGGAGGCCTAATTGCCGGGAGTTCTGCTGGCACGGCTAATTAATATTTAAAGTGGCTTAACAACCAGACAGAAGCTGGGAAGTTGTACTTTTGGTGTATTTGCGCTTATGTCATTTGTTTTATTTTACGGCCGAAAATTTAGACTGTCTCTGTGGTCAAGAGCGATGGTGAAAGATGTCTGTGCCCTGGGAAAGTTGGAAATGGTTTTACGTAATCCCTCTGCGAGTTAGTTGCTTTTACTTGTTTAATTAACGGCTCATAAAACTGTTCCTCAAAAGGAAGTAATTTAATTGAAGCATGTTTGCCCAATTTTCGCCGTGGGTTATGAGAATTTTCGATGACTTAGCGGAGATATTTCTAGCTCAATGGGTCACAGCTTCCACAGCTTCACCCAACACTAGCAATTAACGTCAGCAGCTCATGCAAAAGTGTTTAGAAAAATGCCACGAACACCATTTGGCATTCCAATTAAATTATGATGAGGGCCAAAACGCACAGATCCCTTAGAGCGCCACACGCACCTCACAATTCTCTGGGAGCTGGAGTTGGAGCTGCCCGGTGGCCTGTCAATAAGCCAAACCGAAAAAGCACACCTTCAGCTACTTGCAAATAAGAGCAAACCAGAACGGACCGAGACCTAAAACCCTACCTCAACGAAGGCTTCGGTTACCACCAACAGCTTTTGTTGTCGTAGGTTCATTTGTAACTAATTTGTGCACAGTATCGGAAAGACAAAGGAGCTGCCGGGCGAACTAGACCTCGATTCAAACCCCGAACTGAAGTCGGACACATGCTCTTAACCCTTTTTCTTACAAAAGATATTAGTATTATCATAATACTTTTTTGTTAAGCCATTTAATCAGGTGCCTTTCTTTAAACAATAGGCTGCGTTTATCATATTTCCAAAGAGTTGGGAGTTAAAAGCATAATGAGGTATCTTTTAAAAGCAATCTAAAAAAAATTTGCAAAAATTAAGAATAGTAAGAAAAAGTCAAAAATTCACAAATTGATTTGTAAACATTATTCAAGCCGTGTTATCAAAACAAAAAAAAAAGATTCAAATGTATGCAAATGTATACAGGTGTATATCTAAAATTTGTTCCAATTAGTTAAAGTTTAATAATAATATTATCAGCGAACAATATTCAAATCTAAAACAGTACTAATAACTTTTTGAAATCCTACTTAAAAATATAATTTTTCCCACTTTAAAATTCTTCAATAATATTGTTACATTTGGGAAATACAAAAAGGATGTAAGCACGGGTTAAGGACCTGTCTCCTGTCTCTATGTTTTCAGGCTTAAAGAAGCTGCCTTCCGAGGTGTAATCCAATCGAGAGTCAACCGACTGGTCAAGTGGTGTTGGATTTCCTGCTCACTTCTGGTCGAAGAGCCGAGAAATGCAAAGCTGATGAATTTGTTAAGCAAATGGCACATGCGGTGCAGCAAGCCCCACCAAGTGCAATTTGCAAGTGTAACAGTAAGTGGACAAACAATAAACTGGCTAATTTATGGCCGCTCAACATCCGAAGATCATCTGCCATACAGGGAACCAGTTAATTCTCCAGTCTTCATCGGCTGGGACCTCACACAATAATAAATCCAGTTGCCGCTGATGCCGACAGAAAAGCAGCGAAGTCGGCAGAGGCGGCAGCAGCGACGTCGGCAGACTGATTTTTGATTTAAGAAGAAAAAGAGAAAAAAACAAATTACAAACAGTCCGCAGATCTCATTTATTTGCCGCACGCCGAGGCGTTCACAACGTTCAAAAGCTGCGCGCTCAAGTTAGAAACAAAATACAGAAGCATCGGCAAAACAGTGCGAGAAAACCGCGAAAAGTGCATCCTCTGTAAAATTTAAATAATCCAACCATAAGCGTGATAGAACGTGTGCCTACCATTACGCATAAATTAATTTCCACAATCTATTGAAGTAAACATCTTCGCTTGAAGGACACCTTGGCAATAAATTGTACAATCGGCAAATACAATTAAGGAAAATCTAATCAACCAAGCCAACCGGCACCTGCAGTCAAAGCCATTTAAAGTGAGTGCGATTAGAATATAGACGTATAGACGAATGCCCATAAAAACACATTAAATCATTTGCATTTGACGGCTGGCAGGCGGTTCTGTAATAAGTTTATAATTGCTGCCCGTCCGCATCGAGCTCGCTGCCTAAGTCTTTCGTTTGCAGTAAGTTCGCTGCCCAAGTCTTTCGCTTCCCTCGTTTCGAGTTCGTTGCCTAAGTCTTTCGTCTTTCACCAGAGAGGAGCGTGATATGATTAATCATGGCTCGCATCACGAAAATGACCTTGGCAATGCCGTTGATATGGGCGCAAAGTAAAACAGCCTTAGATAATTGAAGTCAGTGAGTGGACAAATTAAATTTAGTTTTTCCAGTTTCTATTTCCTGAACTGTGCGAAGTGCGAGTCATTAGGGTTTTGAACAATTAAATTGTAATGAGCTTAGGCGAAATGTGTGTGTGGTCTCTCGAATTACACATTTTGCTCTTTTAGTTTCTATTATCACAATGATCCCTGAACACCCCAATCATATATCATATATCAAGCGGAGATTCTGATCAGCAAACAAAACAAATTCCCAACTTTCTGCAATTTGTCTTGGGCGCATATTTTGTCGGGAATTCTGCCAGACACAAGAACTAGACAAATGTCTTTATCGGAAAAACATAAACCTGAGGTGATTTGCCTAGCCCACAACCTGTTAAAGCGGTGGGCGAACCGCAGACGCCCCTAGTTAGCCCCAAAAACCGTGTTATCCACATCGATCCCAAGTTTTTCGGTTGTTGCGCCGATCAATTTATTTTTTACTGGCTCATTAATCACTGAAGCGTTGAAATCTGCGCCGCGGATGGCGCTCGACTCGCTCATTAGCGTAATTGCTCTGCCGGCGTCGCTTTGATTAGCGTGCATTAAATGCTTTCATTTAAATCAAATCGAAACGAAAATTATCTTTGGTCTGTGAGTGCTCGGTTTTCATGTGTACACATGTGGCGAACGTGAGAAACTTACAATGTAAAGGCGAAACATTTTGCGCTTTGATGCGCACAGACAATTTATTTGTTATTTAATTATTCGGCTTTGGCATGTGACTTGCAGAAAATCGCATTGGCTACCATTTATATTATTATTGTGATTGCGAGCACTTCGAGTTTGCCACTTCGGTTGCCACCCCATCGATCAAAACCTTGAACAATCGGACAACCCGTCGAGTGGGGCGTGGGTGGCACTCAGCACTTTCATTGCCTGTCGCCTTGACATTCTCCCACCTCTCAAAAAATATTTACCCGGCCAACTGGCCTTTCAACTTTTCTTCATAATTCAATTTTGGATTAAAAAAATATCTCACTTCTGATATTTTTCTCAAAAATCACTATTCTATGATAAGGCAATTATAATAATTATTTTTAAATATTTTTTTATCATTTTTTTTATCTCACCAACCATTGTGTCCATTTTCAGAATGTCGCCTTTGCTTCCACTGGCATCTCTAATCATCTTGGCCAATTTGGTGGCAGCTCGACCCTATTCCTATGGTCCACGGGCAGAAGCGCCTCCCACGAGATTGGCCAACCGGATTGTGGTGCAGTCGCCCTCGCTGGACAACTTGTACATGGACTACGTGGTCACATCGAAGCCGCTGAGTCTGCGCAAGTACAACAAGAACGGCAGTAAGACGAAAAAAACGAAAAAGGATTCGAAAATATATTACATACCCGTACCCCCACTGCCCTTCCGACACATACCCGGCATCGGCTTGGACTATCAGCCGATGAAAATCAATCCCATCCTCCACGAGACCGACAGCACAACGAGGAAGACCACAACAGTGCGCCCACCGGCGACGACATCTAGCCCCAATCTGGACCATCGGAATCCGAGTAAAGTACTTCGAGTGCAGCATCTAAAGGATTACTACTTTAATGGGCGTCCACATCGACTGCAGGTGGCCCATGCCGATAAGAAGTCCGGACTGACGGCTCTTAACCTAAAGTCCAAATTTTACTATAACAAAAACATTATTTATTAGTACTGTTAGTTAGAAAATAATAAAAACAAAAGGAAGCCCCACAATTGCTTTGTATTTCGCGGTTTGGTAAGCGAAATTGTTAAGCAGCTTTTGAATGAAACCGAACTAAAAAAGGAAATCGCAAAACCTTTCAATTGGATCGCATTTCCTATGAGCCGAATTGACAAAACCCCCGAATTGGGTCAAAATCAAGCGAAAGAAATCTCTAAAAGCTGAGGGGCTATTAATTTTGATGATATCTGTTTGGATCATGATATAAGAGTTAAGCATCATTATTAAGTCGGCTTCCGCTTCGGTAGCATCATCGGTAGCTAAAAATCATCTTCACGTGTGGTCCGACCATCTGTCCAATCCATTTAGTAAAAGTAATTACTGTCACCGTTGTCTCTGCGCATGCTAAATGCTTCGAGTTGTGCAATAAATAATAATAAATAATAAGGCGCTGAAAAATGGCCAATCGAACTGAGAAGACTTTGAAATGGGGGCAATTAGAAAATATTTATGGGAATGCAAATTTGTAAATAGCAATTGGAGTTGAAGAGCTCATTAGATGATTGGGTGCTTTCACTCCTAGAAATTCATAGCGAGTGCGTGAGAAAACTTAAATACAGTTGAAATTCTTTATGTGGAACATCTTGTACAAAGCCCATTAATTTTCAAATTGTATTATCGGATTTTTAAAGTTTCCTGTTTTATTCTAATACAGGCTGAAAATATTTATTATTAAATATTTAAGGTATAAAGTATTAAATATGAGTATAATAAAAGTTTCGAGCAAAAGATTATTCACATATCTGTATTGGCGTGACTATCTCCACTGTATTCGAACTCCACGAAATTAGAGCTTCAACGGCTTTTTGGCCTACAACCCGTTGCCACAACAGGGCGCCTAGCAGCGGCTATTGAACAAATTCGTGGCCCTCAACCGTGGTTATCCTCCTCTGGCCGTATCTCAGCAGGCAGTTTTCAGCCTCATTTTGAAATTACCTTAACTACAAACTACAATTATTCTACAACAATAAATATATTTAGTGTGACAAGATGAGCGCGGAGGAGCGTGCCCGGGAGTATGTGTGCAATGTGCAACTGCATGTGGAGCCCAGCGAACGACCCAAGTTGCCGCCAGGGTGTCCCCCTCCTCTGGATTCCCGGAGTACTGAATCGGAGCTGCAGCACTCAGAAGAATGCTGCGTGGAGCTGGAGAATGTGACGGTGAAGTTCCGGCTATCGGACTCCGAAATCCTGGCTCAGGTTTATCCCAACTGTATGCTTTTGGGCGAGGTAAAACAGGATCTTGCTCGCAAGTTTGAGGTGGCACCGGAATGGCTCGTCCTCCGACAGGATGGTCAAGTTCTCTGCAACTCCGTGCCCTTGAACTCGACCGTCCTAGATGAGTACGGCATTCATGAGTTCCAACTTGACATGTGTAAAGACGGTAAAGAGGATCCCACCACCAAGCTAGATCTGGATGTGTACTATGAGTAGGTATAGAAAATAGTATTACTGAATCCATTTAAGATTTAACCTTTTATCAGCAAGCACCGTCTGGCCGACTTCATCACTGTCCACATCTCTGGTGATGACACCCTGGATGGCCAGTCCAAAACCGTGGTCGTAGAGATCGAAAATGCGGCCATTATCAAGCCATTCCTCTGCGGCTATCGGGATCAAATCACGGGCAAGGAATACTTGGACGCCTTTACCCAAACTGGTCCGTACTTCGACAAGATGAAGTACAGGAAGTACAAGACCAGGGATACGCAGACATGGGAGCAAAAGGAAAAGACACTGGTAGGTTCTAAATCATTTGATTTATATATTTCAATCAATTATACTTAAAATCTTTCCAGAACACAGCCCATGAGCAGTCTGTGCAATGCCATTTGGATGGCATTAATATACTATATGTTTCCGCCGCCAATGACTTTACCATTATTCCTGGCAAGTACCAGACTTTTGCTCAGAAGGAGCGAGCCGAGCGTAAGCTCGAGAAAATTTTGCTCATCCAGCGAAACTGGCGGCGCTGGATTTTATGGAAATATATACACCTGCGGGCGCAGGAGTATCGGTAGGTAGACTATCTGCAATTAAGATTATTTAACTTAAATATATCATCTAATACACCCCCATCAGTCGCTTGGTGCAAAATCGCGAGCAGGAGGATGAGCGTTATGAGAAGTGCGTCGAACAGCGCGTGGAGCGACACCGGGTGATCAAGCAATTCCCGCGCAACAAGGATGACTTTGATCTGCTCTATGCTGAGGTGGGTCGCTGGAAGAAGGCGGAGCTAAAGCGAATTACAGCCAACTATGAGGGGCCTGCTCGCATTGCGGAGGTGAACATTCTGCTGGACAAGGAGATTCAGCTGCTTAATGGCGTGGAGCGGCAGCGTAATCTCGTCTACAAGGCCATGGAGGAGTTTCGCAAAGATCAGCTGCTGAAGGAGATGGGTAAGCCGATCGAGTGGATCGGCTACAAGGACTCCAAGATTCATATGGATCTGTTGAGCACACAGCGAGTGCGTTTTCTTACCGAGATCTACAAAGATCTGCGAAAGCCGCGCAACAAAGAGGATCGCTTGGACTTTATACGACAAGTCATGGTAGTGCTCACCGAGGAGACTTGCTTCCCGCATTTTCCCGAGCTCTTTGAACTATTTGAACGCGAAAAGAATCTTTTGCTCTATGCCAAGTCTTTTGACGTGGAAATCTTGCGCAAACGGCAGACCATGCTCTTTTTCGATCTCATAAAATTCCAAAAGGGCGAGCCCAAACAAAGTAGGTGTATGTCTTATATATATAGTAAATTAATTATTTAGAATTGTGGTTTTAGGGATTCCATCGCGCATGTGCATTGTATGCAAAAAGGTTAAGACCTATGCCGAGTTTGCCATTAGGACACGTCAGAGCCATGTGGACACCTGCAAGCACTGTTACTACTTAAAGGTTGGTTCTTCATCATCCCACATTTTAAGATTATTATCCAAAATACGTCCATACATGCACACAGCTTACTGCTACTGAGAACACAGTGTACCAGTCCATTCTCCGGTGCATCCATCGGGATGAGCGGAAGCGCAAGTGCACCACATCCTTTGCATTTGTAATGCAGCCAGATGATGTTCGCCACATAATAGACAAAATATGGCATGGACATTCGGCTCTTAGCAAGTCAGAGAATCTTAGTGAACTAAGGTAACCTCCTCACAATATAGAGATTATAAATTAAACTTTAAATACCTCTATTTCAGATTGCCGCGTTGGAACAAGAGCGATGACTGGGCACCGTGGAACTCCATTTGCCTGACGGAACGGGAGACAAGAGATCACTACAAGATCGATGACATTGAGAAGGTGTACGATCCCAAGTTTGTTTTGCACGTCAGCAATCTTCACATGCTGGCTCGCAGTCTATTCCACACCTTGGCGGCTGTGGCCACCGAGTTCCAGGAGACGGGCCAATGGTGGAAAGTTGGCATGAACAAACAACGTTCCAGTAAACTGGATGCCGTGTAAAAAATGTGGTAACCACTCCATATGAAATAACTCCCAGTAACTTCGAAATGTGGGTTTAGCTTGTAATTCAGCGCCTAATTTAACATTTACAAAATTTAAACAATTCAAATATTGATCAATCATTACAAGAAAAATTAAATAAACTATAACTGCAATTATTTGCTACTTGCAATCGCCTTGAACTTTGACTCCAAATACTGAACGCGTTTCAGTAGTTTGTCACTGGTGCTGAACTCATTATAGGGCACGGGAATAACGTGGTACCCACTTTTTTCTAGCAGGTCAAATGTCAGATTCGTAACGCCGCTGCCACAGCGATGCGTTCCGTGGCAAATGTCATGGAAATCGATGACCATCAGCGCCACCCTGAAATCAGGATTCAATCAATATAATCAAGATTATTGATATAATTTGTTTAACTTGCCTAATTGCATTCGGAATTTCTTTATCCAAAGGCAGGGGGTTTTTGTTAGCATCAAAGTGGCACAGTGCATCTAAAACAACAGTTGCTCAGGAAAATGGTAATGGTAATGGTAATAAGGATCCACTAACCTATAAGGAAGCCCATTTTAGTGTCTACCGCGGTTTCTAAATGATTGCTAGCCGGCAGCAGACTCTTCAGTGCATCTAGCATTCCATTTACCAGCACTTGTTTTGCTTTAGGATGCGCCATGGGCACCTGATAGACGGGACTGTCAGTGGGCAATAGTGGACCCTTGTAATCTGTGGCTATTAACTGGGCATAGCTATTTAAATTGAGTAGCCTCATTTTGGAGGTAGCTGTGACTCCAGCTTTGTCCTTTTTCAATGTTTCTAGGAAGTCCGCACTGAAAGCAATCATAAATATAGGTATTAGTTAGAAATTCTTAAGCGTTACTAAGAACAAACCTCAAAACAGAAGCCAAGTGGCTGTGTTCTACTACACCCAGCATTGTTAGCGCCCACACAAAATTCAACCACTCGGATTGCTTCGTAAAATCCTCGCGGACAATAGATTTTACCAGCTTTTTGCTCACTTCCTCCAGTTGAGCGCTTTTGAAGTTTAGCAGGGCCGAGGTAAGGAAATAGGCACTGAGATCTTGGGGTCGACAGATTTCACTATTCTTTAAAAGCCACTGCGTCAGTGATTCCAAGATATCTAACAAATAAATTAATTTAATTAATCTCAAATTTGTTTAGGAGTTTTGTATTCGAGCTAACCTAAATCCCGGTATCGCAAAATGCCCAGGCTGGTGATAATGGATCCCACAACAGCAGATTTTTCCACATTCTTAGGCAGTGCCGATTGCACATCCGCACACACTTTGGCGCCTAGAACAGAATCCTGGAAATTCAGCGTGGACATAGCGTAGAGCACATCCGCCGCTTGCTTTAGATCCAGCGATTCCGAAGCGCTGCTGATATTAAAGGCCAGGGAGCGGAGGAGAGGCGTACTACGCCTCTTCCGCTGGGCCAAGGTGCTCATCACCTTGACCATCTGGGGCAGACTGATGCTAGCTACCAGCTTAGCGGCCTCATCATCACCAGCTACGCCAAGCACCGTGTTAAGGTCATCGGTCCGGAAGCCGGAAATCCGCTTGACAGTCCCATTCTCGCCAATAGCCTTGTTGTTACCACCATTACTTTTGGGAACCGTCCTGCCCAACATCCGGCAAATACGCAGAAATCTTGTGTCGTTCTCAAACTCCGAAATTTTCACTCGATCCATGGTGCTCCACTCGGCCAGGATGGAGACAATTCTAAGGGCATGCTTCCTCGAGAACGCATTGTTGTTCTCCGTGATTGTCAGCAGTCCATTGACTGTCTTGGCGTTGATAATACGCTCATCGATCTTGCTGGAGGCTTGGTTCTTGCTCTCATCTCTGGGACCGTCGTTTTTGAGGGATTCAAAAGCAGCGGCTACCATGTTGCCTGGGAATCAGATAGTGTGGATACCAATTAGTAATAAGAACAGCCATTGGAGAATCTACCTACCCCTGGGCTTCTTAGCCGCTGCATCCACAGCCGGCGTGCGTGCTTCCGGCTCCACTGCATCCGACTGACCTCCAGTGGGGGCCAGGGGTATGCCCGCTGCACGAGCACTGCTGCTGTAGCCTGCACGGCGGTACAACTGGGTGACAAAACTGCCGGCAAAACGTTGTAGTCCCAACATTTTCAGTCAATCCGCACGCTGCAAGAAACCACAGAAGTTTACATAACCTTTTTGTTTACATTTTCAGCGGCCAGAATTGGGCTTTACAAAGCATGCCAATGATATAGCCCTATATTCATCACTTGAAAAGTATTATTCCCCTTGAAATACTTCGCGTTTCATTTAGTAATATTTATTTTAGTAAACTTTCCTATTGAACGTTGAGAATCCACAGATGACGGCCGCGTTCAGCTGTTAGTAGTGTAGGTTAAAGCCCGTCTGCTACATGCAAAGCTTTTCTAACACTGGTACGCGAACAGTGTTGCCAGCTCAGCATTTTGTAGCTAGAGTTGGCGTTTTTCTAGCAGGAAATTAGGGATTACTTACTATTTAAATTACTTTCAGTTATTTATGAAATGCTTACAATTTCATAATATTACCGTACTCTTATTGTGCTTCATGAATAAAAATAACCCATGTTTTTATTACCTATTTGTCGTACGAACTTATTAAGCTAATTTTATTCAATAACGGCTACTTTCAGCTATTTATCGGATTTAGCTACACTTGAAAAGCGAGAGTCAGCAACACTATTTGCAACACTGGACACGACAGCTCACCAAATATTAGCTGCTGTGATTTTGTTTTACAATTTTCGTTTAAATTTTTACATTTTTGTTTGCGGAAAGCGCGGGTGCGAGACAGGTGCGCAGTTTCCATGCAAAAGTGCAAATCGTCAGCTGTAAAGCAGTCAGAAAACGGCACGCCAAGTAAAAACGAGTTCGACGTCTTGTTGTAGTTGGATTTTCCAGCAACTTTTCGACGAGATTGTGTGAAAAATTCCGCAGCATTCGATAGCCTCAAAATGGTGGATAAGTTCATCAGCATGTGGAAAGTGCGCGAATTGGCGGACAAGGTGTAAGTGATCAGGAATATGAAGGATATATTCATACGTATATAGAATGGGATGTGTGTATAACATTCCCTCAACGCCGAAGTGAATGTAAAGACTCCCACGCCCCAAGTTCTGTTATTTCCCGCCACGCCCCCAACTCCTCAACAATTTCAAATGCTGTATGTCATGCAGAAACCCATAATAATTTATGAATATATCTCAATAATGGATGAACTGCATCGGGGTGCTGGATTAGGTTCACGTTTTTAACTGCTTTCAAGGTTGTTCGCCATTCCAAGCGAGCTTTACCAACACAGCCGCATTCCGATATGGGTATCCATGTGTATATATAAATGTGCGTGTGGGGCTTTATCAAGAAACAATTTGTTTGCTTTCGACTGCCCAAATATAACAAAATGTTTCCACCTGTGTTAACAGCTCCACTTCCAGGCTTTCCAGTGAAATGGGTGTTTCTGTTTCCCCATCGAATTATTAATTATGGCTTCCCCCTTTCACCTGCGCCTTTTATGGGGTTGTTATTCCTAAAAAGAGGCTATAGTTCGAATAAATAATGCAAAGTCAATGGAGCCTCGATAGCCACCACCGAACTCATTAGGTTAAGTGCATGGGTACACTTTTCGTAGGGCTTATCTCGAACTGATAAGGAAAACCTAGCTAGCCCAGTTTGCGACAATCAGCCCTCTTCCATCACGTTTCGAACGTCTATCAACGTCGCAGCCAAGTCATTCGTATTACCTTTTTATATCTGCATTGTAAATCCGTATTGTCACACACCGTTTACTTTAAAGTATCAGTTCTGATTAACTGGCACTGTATCCATTGATTATCTACTCGATTGAGTTTATTGAATGCCCGAAGTCTATTTGCTTTTCTTTTATTTTCTATGCTTACCTATATAGTAACTACATACTTAAATAAACCAGCTTTGATCTAGAACAGTTGTACTTACAAGTGTTTTTTTTTTTATTATCTTAATCTTGAATATTTAATAAAAAAAATCTGATTTATAGTTATGAGTGTGCTCCCTTGGTTATACAAGAACATCGCTTTAATCCCCTTGCAGCACCAATGTCGTGATGAATTACACGGAAACGGAGGGCAAGGTGCGGGAGGCCACCAACGATGATCCGTGGGGGCCAACAGGACCCCTCATGCAAGAATTGGCCTACTCCACCTTCTCATACGAAACATTCCCGGAGGTGATGTCCATGCTGTGGAAGCGCATGCTGCAGGACAATAAAACCAATTGGCGACGCACCTACAAGGTAAAGATTTAAGTTTAAGCTAATAAATAAAGAACTAACGAATATATTTACTTACAGAGCCTCCTTCTGCTAAACTATTTGGTGCGAAACGGCTCTGAGCGGGTGGTAACCTCCTCCCGGGAGCACATTTACGATCTGCGCTCGCTGGAGAACTATACGTTCACTGACGAGGGCGGCAAGGATCAGGGTATTAATGTTAGGCATAAGGTACGAGAGCTTATAGACTTTATTCAGGACGATGATCGATTGCGCGAGGAGCGCAAAAAGGCAAAGAAGAACAAGGACAAGTACATCGGCATGAGCAGCGACGCCATGGGTATGCGAAGCGGTGGCTACAGCGGCTATAGCGGTGGCTCTGGAGGAGGCGGTGGTGGTAGCGGTGGCTACAATGATGGCGATTACCGCTCTAGTCGTGGAGACAATTGGTGTAAGCTAGCATTTTTTTTTTATAGTTAGTCAAAAAGAGTTTGTATTGTAATGCTGTTCATGATTTCACTACAGACTCCGACAAAAGCGCCGAGAAGGATCGGTATGAGGATGATGATACTCACTACGATGGAGAGCGGGAGGGATCCGATAGCGACTCACCCAGTCCAAGGCAAGTGTTCACTTTATCAGTTAACCAGACTAGCTTCCAATGTTATCTAATCCTAGCAGACGTAACTATCGATACAATGACCGAGCAAGTCCCGCAGAAGTGGCCAGCGAGGCCAAACCTTCCAGCCTCAACATGAATATTCGTTCGAAGACCGTTAGTTCCCCTGTCTCTAAGCAGCCCACTTCAACGGTGTCTGCCAAGCCGGCGCTGTCCCAGAAGAAGATTGATCTGGGTGCGGCAGCAAACTTTGGAAAGCCAGCTCCTGGCGGTGCTGCTGGCATCCACTCGCCAACTCACCGCGACACTCCCACCAGCGTGGATTTGATGGGCGGCGGATCGCCGTCGCCATCTACTTCCAAGGCAAACAATAATACGCAAAGCAATAACAACGATCTGCTGGACGATCTGTTCAAGACCTGCTCGCCACCGCCAGGGCAAGAGAAAACGCTGAACAGTGCCGCCGTGGTTGTTGATGATGATGATGACTTTAACCCGCGGGCCAGCGATGCTAGCCAGCAGGAATTCGGGGACTTCGCCGCTGCTTTCGGGCAACCCTCAACGGGAACTACGATCAGTGAGCCGCCATCAACGGGCCTGGTTCCGGCTGCGAACGATGAGTTCGCCGACTTTGCGGCGTTCCAAGGCTCGACGACGTCGACCTCTGCCCTGGATGGCAATCTGCTGAAGACTGCCACGCCGGCCAACGATTCGTTTGACCTGTTCAATTCAGCTCCCACCACTACGGCAGCCACCGCAACGGCTACAGATCTCCTGGCGGGTCTGGGCGATCTGTCCATTCACCAAAGCATGCCCATGGGTAAGTTGTAGTTTGATTCTTGTAGCTTAACATAGTGTTAAATTTGAAATAGGTTTAAGATTAGAGTAATTGCCTTGGCCTTAGTCACTTCATGATAAATTTAGGAATCGCTGCATGAAGGTGCGCCTTCCGAGCTTGACTAGAGCCGTTATCTCTACCTCGAGCTCCACAGCCCCACACAAAGATACACTATCTCATCCTCCCACATATAAAAGGCAACATTTTCCAATCGGATGCACTCGTTCTCTTCTCGTTCTCTCTCGTAGCTGTTGAAGAGCAGTTGGCATCCGGTAATGATTCGATGTCGTCGCCTGCCCCACAGCCACCGCCTGAGGCAGTGCGTCTGGCTTTTTCCAAGGCGCAGAAGCAGCTGCGCGACTTAATGCAGGTCCAGAGCGCTTCAGCTGTTGCCCAAGTGGCAGCCATTCTGAGGGAACTGCATAACTCAAACGCACTGCCCGGTTTTGCCACACCAGAGCAGTTGGTTGGCCTCGATCGTCAAACGTGCGACTGGAGCTGTCTTGCCCATGGGGAGTATGCCGCATTGCTTAATCAATTGACAGAGCTATTCAGCCAGGATTGGCCAGAGCCTTCACAGGATGTGGAACTCCTTAACTTTTTTAAGCTCGATCACAGCTTTGATTATGTATTGGTTGCCTTTGAGTCGCTTCAGACAAGATTGGATAAGTTTCCCAGTACTATTAGTTCCTTGTTGGAAAGCCTGGTTAAGGATGAGAGTCTAATTCCTATCGCCTTGCTGCACATCTCCCGCCAGAGAGCTTCCTTGATGCAGCGGTTTGCACGGACCATCAAAGTTATGCCGGAGAGAAAAGTGGAGGAGCTGGATGCCCAGGTGAAAGCTTTCTTCCAATTGCTAATCGGTCTACCAGCCCAGGTGGCCAATCGACTGGGTAGAAGACTGCCGGAGACTTTTGCTCCAGTTTCTTATCAGCAGCTCCTGCTGCGCCAGTGGCTGAAATCATTGCACTTTGTCCTGCAGTGCGATGATAATGGAGAATACTTTGATTTGGAACCGTACTCCTGGCTTTTGTCACAGGTTATAAACCTTATTTATGATGGTCCAACTTTACAGAAAATTCTGCGAGTACTTAAGGACTATGCGGTGGCTCCCAGAGGAAGAAAAGTAGTGAATACCATATTAAGACAGTTGGATCCTGCTGCTTGCCTAAAAACGGCACAATCGGCACTTTCTGCGGAATTGAATCTATACGTTCTTATAGGCGCTGCTACTTTGGAGACACCCCATTGGAAGCATTGCCTGCTTCAGAAGTTGCCACTCCAACGCACACCCGTGGATAATAAGCAGCTTAAAACATTGGCCACTTATCTTAACGCCGTAGCTCCTGCTCAACTGCAAGTTCTTTTTAATCAGTTGCTTGGAATCTGGTCGAAGCGCATTTCCTTGCAGAAGCTGGGCAGCCAAGAGCACTTGGCTATATCCAAATTGCTTGTGTTGGCGGGAAAATGCCTTTGCCGGAATCTTGAAATGGATTTGAACATTAAGCGTCAGCTCCACGATGGACTGAGTAACCATCTGCAGTCCCCAGATGCACTGCAGCGGCATGTGGGCATGAAGACCGTGGAGCTAATTTTCAATTTCATTGCCTTGCCTGACACGAAGGAGGATGATCGTCTACGATTTGATTACGATACATTTAAGGATACATTTCATTGGCACATCTTTGAAGAGCTTGATAATTTAGCTCAGTATGAAAGCCCGAGCAAGTCCAAGCTAGATGAGAAGCCTTGTGAGGATCAGCTGAAACAATTAGAATTACATCTCAGTGACTTTATGAGTACTTCAGAGCAGGAGCAGCAGCAGCAGAATATCGAAATAAAAGCGAAGCCCGCTTCCAGAACCCAGAATATAAGAATGCAGCTGGACTCGGATGACGACGAGCCACTAGATGAAGACGACGATGATTTTAAACCCTATGACATGTCCAACGATACAACCACCATCATTGAGCAGCGCCCCAAATTCGTTATCGACTTGCTGCACCTGCTCCGAGCAAAAGTGGAAAATTATCAGGTTTTCGAGGGCGCCTTGGGCACAGCGGAGCAACTTATACGAGGCCAACTGGCCAAGCATGATACTCAGTTGGCCTTAGATCTGCTACAGCTTTTCTTAGTCATGGAAATGCAGTTCTACTATGAGCACTTCGAACGTACGCAATTTAAGTGTTGCGTGGCCATTTGTGTGGCTCATCCTGGTCCCTGTGCCGAGTACTTGTGCCGCCAATTTCACACGGATAACTCCTCCTACGCGGCCAGCGTGCGTATTCTGATCCTCCAGGTACTGGCAGCAGCGGCGAAAGAACTTTCTGGCGATGAAAACAAGCACGATGAGATGGAAATCCTGGATGTCGTACCACCGGCAGCCAAGCAACCGCGAAAGTTTGACTTGCAGCAGGAGGAGGAGAGTCCGGCCGCTCGTCTGGCCGCTGCGCAAAGGATCATCCGCGACCGGCTGCGGGCCAAGACGAAGAGATATTTCAGCAAGGCGAAAAGTGGAGATCGAATGGAGAAAGCCAACCCATTTCACCCGGTTGCCGGTACCTTTTTCTTCAGTTTAGTGAGGGGACAGCGCACCCGGCAGATGCTTTTCGTAAAGTACGAAAATATTTCACACGACATCGACACCCAGTTGCTTGTAAACCTACTACACACCCTGTCCGTGCTGGTCATGTGCTCCCAGAACTGTCCACTGCTGCCGGCGATGACCCGCGAGATCTTTGACCTGTGCGCATTTGTGCGTTTCAATGCCGAGGCACGCGTCCGTGCGGCCACACTGCAGCTAATAGGAATCGCCCTGGTCACCACACCAGCACATGTGCTGGCCCAGCACTTTGCGGAGTCGTTGAACGAACTGCAGCGCTGGCTGGATGACTTCATAAGATCGCCATTGGTGGGTGGAGAGACTTCGGAGGAGTGCCGGGAACTGGCCCAAAGCATTCTGGACACCTGCTACAAGCTGTTTGATACAGCCGCCATGGAGCAGGCTGCCTAACGTGGCCATTAACAACTTTTGAAAACTTATAGAGTCTTAAGAGATTTAAAATATTGAAAGAAAATTTAAATACACTTTTCCTTATTCCTTGTTAAGGTAAAACGAACAATTGTTTTGCTAAATATTTCCGAATTAAATAGCATAACATAGCTGATTAATTACAAGATTACTTCATATTTTACATCAATTCTCATACAAACACTAAACGCAGTGTCCTTAAACATTTTCTTAGTATTATAAAGCACTAATTATAAAGTCGAAAGAGAGATTTATTTGCTAGAAATAAGATAATAGTTCGAGGAATTATTGTTTTTTAACTCTCGCCCTCCAAGCCATTGTATTGCAGGTATACATATACGGATTTACTTCATTTAAACTAAGTACTTTCCTTTGTTTATTTGTTTTTCTCCTACTGCATATTTGTATTGCAAACCACACACACATTGGATCCAATATTATTTCTCAAATATATACATATGTACTTAATAATGGTGAATTGAAAAGCATTTCTCAATATTCCGGGCATTGTGCGGCCTCCGCAGCCGCGGACTCATTAGGTAAACCAATCCAAAACGGCAATAGCCACATAACAGATACGAACCTATTCTTTCCTTCTGTAATTGCACTTGATTTGCTGCGCAAACGCTTCCGAGTAGTGACCACCTCATTAGCCAATCACCAAGTAGCCGCATTCGCAATTCTATCAAAGCCACACATTCAAAACAGCTTTTTGTGAAACCGAAATGAAAATGGAAAGTAAAACCTCGAATAACATTATTATTGCTTTTGTTTATTCCAGACAATATGATGCCTCCTATTGCCGCCGTCACGGGCAATAATCTGCTCCAACCCATGTCGGTGACCAATAATAACAATAATACCAACGGGGGCGCAGTCAACGCCGCTGCCAGCGTCCAGTCCACCATTGTGGGCGCCACCTGGTCGGGCGACCTGAAGGGCGGCAAGATGAACATCGACCTGGACAACCTCCTGATGAGCAAGTCGGGCAAGGCCAGTGCTCCGGCCCCCTCTATGAACGCCCTGAAGACCAACAGTCCGGCAAAGGCGCCACTGAATGTGCAGACGGGTGGCGGATTCCCCGGACTGTCGCCAATGACCAGTCCGAATATATTTGGGGCTCCGGCACCACAGCAAAGCATTCCACAAAACCAATCAGCATTTGCCAACTTTGGAGCGTTCCAGCAGCAGCAGAATCACAGCAATAATAACAATAACAGCTCGTCGGCATTCGACTTGTTTCAATGATATTTTTTAGCCTAATTTAACCCAACCAGCCTTGAACCTACTATCCAACTTGTCCACTCTCACATTCACATTTCCACGATCGCTAAACTTGTCAGTTCTATATATTATTAAAGTTTTCCTTTCCCCTTGCTGTACAAAGTTTGCGACACGTGCAATTTGTTGCTAAATTTATTGTTAAACAATTTACCCCGATGCAATTTTCCGGATCAAACCCATTAATTCCACATCCGTCCTGATCGTCCTCTCGGAATTTGAAAGTCATCAAATGCAATACAGAGTAGTTGAATAATGGTTGTACTGAACGGATTTGTTAGCACAACGCGCGGACGGACGGCTGAGCGATCCATCATTGAAATTGTTAAACAAAATACTACACGTAATGAAATCAAACAATTTTAGCAATAGTTAACGTTACGATGTCTGTATATAAATTGAATGTAAAGCAAATATGAAATATAAAATAATTGAAACCAATAATTATGAGTGTTCCATGATTTAATACGCAAACTCATAAAATTTCGGTGGGAATACCCTCCAAAGTATATGTTTATTAAATTTGAATTGGGATCCATTAGGGTCAAAGGAAATACGAAAGAAGCATGTAAGTAAAAGATAATAGTGTGGACTAAAACTAAGTTGAATGTAAAAGAGGCTTTTACGCCTCCACGGCTTCCTTGTTTTTGTTCTTCTTTTTCTTCTTCTTCTTTGGCTCCCCATTATCGTTTCCATTGCCATTCTCTGCCTCGGCGGCTGCTCCATTTCCATTACTGGCGCCATTCGTTTCGCCCTCATCCTCAGCCGCCCGCTTCTTCTTCTTGTTCTTCTTTTTCTCGGACTGTGGAGTGACTGCCGCCTCTAGGCCAGCTGCCTCGATGGCCTCCTTCATTACTTCAATGTTCTTGCGCGGCACATCGCCGGACTCGTAGAACTTGAGACGATCTTCGACCTGTTGCTTAAGTGTTTCGCCAAACACGCTCGTCGGCTGCTCTAGGAAGCAATCGATACGGGACGCGATGGAGCACTTGTTGGCCAGGAAGCGAGAGATGCGACCTTTGTTCTTCAGGCCAGCGCGACCGATGAACGAGGAGTGATAAATAAGACCATACTTGGGAGTATTGGAGCGGGTCTTTAGAGCACGGAATAGGGCCTTTTCGGCACCCAGGATTTGTACTGTAGATGCTGGGTACTTGGCCAGATTGGTCAAGCTGCCGGCATGCGAAATCAGGCGGGCACCAACCTGGTCGCCGATCAAAGACTGCAGATTGGGCGCCACCAAGTTCATCTTGTTGTGCAAGTAGGTAGACAGTTTCTTTCTGTACTCGGAGAGCTTGACAACGCGCTCGGCGAACAGCTCAATGTTCATCAGATCCACAATCGATATGTCCATGCCCATGGACATCTTGGCGGCATCAATGATAGCCTGAGCCTTGGCGGAATCCATGACGATCTTTTCAAGATCCTCCAGTTGATCTTGCGTTAGGTTCTTACGATCCTTGATGAACTTAGCCGCCTTGGCGAACATGTAATTGTCGGGAACAATTTTGACCAGTTCTGGGAAGTGATACGAGTACCACTCGCGTATCCGCATGGAGAATGTATTCACGTCCTTATCCAGCTGATCCAGCAGAGCAATGGACTGGATGATCATGTTGTCGGAACGATGGACATTGAACTTGACCTTGGCACGCGAGTAGCTGTGGCCCAGACCCAGCTGAGCAACGCCAGCGGACTTGTCGGTGAATCCTGCAAAGGATGGTGGAGGCTTTAGTTAAAAAAAGAGGATTTTTTTTGGCAGCTAACTTACCCTTGACCAGCTTGGCGAAATGGAATCGCACGCCACGCAGGATCTCGGGAACCACTCCAAAGTGACTGCACTGCACGCCAATGGCCTCGGAAATGGCTGCTCCCAGCTTGGCATCCGCAATACCCAGGGTGCACTTCTTCTTCTTCAGCTTGGCAAAGAAGTCATCCAAGAAGGAGAGCAGATCCTGCGGCACAATGCCCTCGGAAATGGCGTTAATGTTCTCCAGAGCGGCAATGGCCGTCTTGAAAGGCGCAAATCCAGCCAGCTTTACAATGGAGTTGAACTTGGCGAGGTCCGTCACCGAGGACTCCACCTGGGGCAGGAACATGGACACCTCCTCGAACTCCTTGACGGAGAAGAGCGAGAAGCCCGCCGCATGCTCGTACAGCACATACAGGTTCGACTGGAGGCGGGGAAATGGAAAATTATCAGTCTGATGCGGTGGCAAACACATGTGGTTTTGGGTGCTCCGCATGTGTAGGTTAGTTTTCGTTGGGAAAACATTTTCTATTCACGGGCAACCTACAGAGTACTTAAATATATGACTAAGTAATCAAATATTTACCATATCTATGCCGAATATATGCCGATTTAATTAAAAAGTATATAGTTTTATACACCCACGATGCTGCTACAGTTGTTTTTCCACGTGCTAAATTCAAATGTGACCGTGGCAAGCCAGTCGGGGAATATCTCGGACATACCAGAAAAAATACCGCAGTACCGTACTGAATTATTTCAACAGGCTGGCCACGTTGATAACCTGATAACCTGTCGCGTTGTCCCTCTCGCACCTTAATCAACTGTCTCTGTGTGTGAAAGCAATTTTATTTTTATTTATAACAAATTTGTTGCGTTTATAAACACAACAGAATTAAATAGTTGGCTCGGCACACTTCCTGGAACCGCTCGCATCAGCTGTTGGGCTGCGGCACTAGTTTACAGACCGACCAACTGCACGCAAATACAGATACCATCATTTCCATTTCCCAGTTCACCAGAGAAAGAAACCTGCTGCGAATTCCAGCCACTTTTCTTCGATTATTATTCGACGCTAATTGTGTGAAAATCGGCGGAATAAAGCTGCTGACGCGACACAGGAGAGCCGGAAAAGCGGTGTGGCACTCGCTGAAAAATTCTACGCATAGGAAAATTCCATTGGAGGCCCAGTGAGAAGGGGAGCAAACCAATTGCATGCCATGGACTTCTTGTTGTAAGTTCTCGGGGGGCAAAACGGAGTGCAGTTGCAATCCTTTCGAGCACAAAGAAAGCTCGGATCACCCCGCCCCCACTTCTGATTTTCCGGCTTTGTTTGCCTTTTTTGGTGTGATATCCCCAACTCCTGTAAAGTGGAACTTCCCTAATTCTTTCTGTGGTATCCCAAACGTAGCTTTTCAACGATATCTCGCATACGAATTATTTTAAAAACATAAAAAACAATTATGAAAAAATGTTACCTTGTATTGTTATTAAGCGAAAGTGAATTTAATGTTTAGTTATTTGTACTTACAAAATTTTCCAACAATATATGGAAATATATTTATTTTTGAACATTTATTTATTTAGATGAAGCTTCTTAGGGTTCAAGCTATAGAATCTTTACTGTGAGTGGTGTTTTTTGGGGCCGCGACTTATTGCCTTTCTCTTCCCACAGCGGTTCCCGATCCAGCAAGACCTTCAAGCCCAAGAAGAACATCCCGGAGGGCACACACCAATATGATCTCATGAAGCATGCGGCAGCCACGCTGGGATCGGGAAACCTGCGCAACGCAGTGTCCCTTCCAGATGGCGAGGATCTCAACGAGTGGGTGGCCGTCAACAGTGAGTTTGGATAGGTGCAACTTGCCAAGGAAACTCAATCCTTATTCTTATGCCTTCTCAGCCGTGGACTTTTTCAACCAGATCAACATGCTGTACGGAACCATCACGGAGTTTTGCACCGAGGAGACCTGTGGCATCATGTCGGCTGGCCCGAAATACGAGTACCACTGGGCCGACGGTTTGACCGTAAAGAAGCCAATCAAGTGCAGCGCCCCCAAGTATATTGACTATCTGATGACTTGGGTTCAGGACCAACTGGACGACGAGACCCTGTTTCCCTCCAAGATCGGCGTGCCGTTTCCAAAGAACTTTCACTCCTCCGCCAAGACCATACTGAAGCGTCTGTTCCGTGTGTATGCGCACATCTACCACCAGCATTTCACAGAGGTGGTGACGCTTGGCGAGGAGGCCCATCTCAACACGTCCTTCAAGCACTTCATCTTCTTCGTGCAGGAGTTCAATCTGATCGAGCGGCGCGAACTGGCCCCGCTGCAGGAGCTCATTGACAAGCTGACGGCTAAGGATGAGCGGCAGATATAGGAATCACTGCATGGAGCCGCGAATTCCCGGGATTCCGGCGGCGGTGGTGGTGGTCTGGGCTTGCAGTTGGACTTGTGATGAAAGCGCTCTGGCAGACTCGTGTATTACGCTTTAGTTAGTTACCGCCAATACTTTATGTTTCGTTCATTGCTTCATGGGGTGCCTCCCACAAAAAAAAAAAAGGAAACAAAAAACAGCCAATTGGCAATGTGAACCGAACTATAGCGGGCTAATTGCTGATCCAGAGCAACTACTATATTTTTATATGTGAAACGTAACTTTAAGGAGTATAAATCATATTTATATGTATATGTAAAGGAGAAAACAAAAGCAGCAACAGCAACAGCACGCCTTCGATAACTAACACCTCCCGCTTTCGAGAAACAACCAATATTACGTTCACAAACTATGCGTGTTTCCTTGTTTATCGTTTTTCTTTCTGTATGTATTCTATGTATTTATTACTATTAAACTATCGCTAATTGCTCGCGGTTCAGCGGATCAAGCGATTTTGTAATGCAAACCCCAGCAATGTGAGGCGACGGCCGACAGCACCCAATAACTGATAATAATTGTAGACTTGATAAACATTTTTGATACGTTTTATACTAATAAAGAGAATATTATGAATAACGTCCACTCTTTTTTGGTTTATCGTGCATTGACACTTTATTTGGCAAAAAAAAAAGTAATAATGAATAATACAATGAAAATAATAGCCTTATAATATAAAAATGTGGTTCAGTGGGGAATTAGGGAGTACTTGTAATACCCTTCCATAAAATATGACAACTGATATGCGCCTTTGTGCATTTGCGCATTCTAAATGTTTTCGACTAATCTATAACATTCGGCTAATCGCCTTCTTATCACTGTCGCCACACTAACCCCAATCACTTGAGCTGGCTTTTGTATTTGTCTTGTTCCACATAGAAATCGGCATTCTCCTCCACCAACTTTTTCCACTTCACCGACAGCTCCGTATAGCTTAGTCCTTGACCACCGAGTTCCTTGGGCAATTGATCACAGCACACGGATGTTCCCTCACGACGCACGAAAAGTCGCGATCTTATCTTGGGCGTCATGAATATTCTGAAATTGTAATAATAAATAGTGAGGTTTTATTTTAGTAATAACACACGGCCCACCTAAAGGTATTCAAAAAGAAGTTCACATGGCGCGGGGCGTTGGTAAACTCCAATAACTTGGGCTGACATGGATAGGCGGTCCAGCTCTCCACGGATCTCTTAATAAGTTTCGGATTCATTTGGAGCGCATGCCCCAGTTGAACGCCCTGCATATCCAAAATAGCCACCATTCCGCGGGCACAAGTCTCCGGATCGAGCTTTAGCAGCAGGTCTAATATCATTTTGCTGGTCTGGGAAACAAAGGTCGGCAATATAAGTACATTGAAGGAAAAATGTATACGAAACTTGTTGTATTTCATAATATTCCATTAATTCTAATAAGTATATACAATATGTTCTTTTCAATAAAACAACCAAATGTTCGCCTTTTATTTCATGAATTACGTATAAGAGATTTAAAAATATATACATAATACCTTTATGTTATTCAGAGCTAATTTCCTTTCAGTGCACATTTACGTGCATTATGATAAGTTTATGAAAGCATATATCTTGCCAAGTTTGTATTTCCCTGACTCACCTTAAAAACATTATTTTGGCTGTGGAGCTTGGGATCGTGGGCTGCTGTGCGTATGACCACCACCATCCTTTGTTCGGCATCCGGACCGATGGGTAGGAAGACGCCCAGCTTTAGTAGCTCCTGGATTTCGGGCAACTGGGGATTGCGATTATCGAACCATTCGGTGCGCTCCGCCCGCATTTGGTAGAACGTCTTCAGTTTCTTCTTGGTCCGCTCTACATCGAACTTGGAGGTGCGGAGGAAGAAGTGCAGGTTCTCGAATGTGTTGCAACCGTTGATCTGCGGATTGGCGACGAGCCAGTCGCTGAGATCCTGGACCTGCGCCAAAACCCTTTCGGTGTCACCATCGGTGGTGGCCACTTGCCTTTTGGAACTGCTGCTGCGTGACCACATGACGCTCCTTTGGTAACGACTTTCAGCGAACTAAAGCAATTGTTTATAAACAAATTGCGACATGCACTCGCTAACTGAAATAAGCTTTTCAAGCTTTTACGCGTACTCAGCGTTTTTTTCTTAATCGTTAGTCTCGTCGGCATTTCGCACATGGAAATCGCATTCTAAAATTACATAAGTGCTGATCCGTTGCAAGCTTAATTGTGGCGTTTTTGCTCAATTGGATTAATTTAATTCGAATTGATTGGCGAGAAATGCTGACTTTTGTCACTTTGTATTTTGAATTTGTCGATTTCGATAGACGCTGATGCACGCATTTTAGGGATGGGAGAATTCGAATACGTTTACAGTCTCTGCTAATTCGCTGTTAACATTAACATTGTGATGGTTTTGTGGTCGTAATATTTAATAATTTTGAAAACTATTTAACTCTTTATGAAAATTACGAATTGCAAATATAGACAACTAAGTAATCTTTTTGCTTTAGTATTATCAGTTTTTTATATTGTTATATAAATGAAAGTTACCATGTAACCACTTTATTTAGATACATTTCAAACTTAAAAGTTAGACTAGTTGAGATTACGACCTAGTTTAGTTACTAAATATTTGTAAATATTTTATAACTCAAGCTGATGGGTGAGCTTAAGTGGTAAAAGCGGAAACAAGATGTACAAACTCCTGGGTGGTAAGTGGTTCCTTCCAAACTGCAGCCTTTCGTATAATCTCTGTTCGTTTTAGCATCGCACTGGTGTAGATAGATCAAAAAACAAGCTCAATTTGTACTTTAAGATAAACTTTATTCACATAGAAAATAAATAATTGTTACATTTCAACACTTTGCTTTACCATAATTACCTCCTCATAACCTCCGCATTGCTCATCCTGCTCTTTTTTTTATATTTTTCTTAGATCGATGCTTATGCTTTAAAATAGATTGTATATTTACAAAGATGTTGTACGCAAAACTTATGTCAACGTGTGGGGCGGTAGTTATCTATTTCTGGGTAAAATGGACTCAGGAGCAGGAGGTGTTTGGAGTTTCGTGCTGGTTGTGGTGCGGGATGGTGGTTTTTTGGTGGTGCAAGTGCTCAAAAGGCCCCGTTGAAGTGCAGGTTTTGTGACGCGAACTGCGGTATCCCATGGTTGAGAGCTAAAACTTTACTGATTACTTTCAATTCGTCAATATTTCTTAAGCTGCTAAATTGACTAAGATGATTGCCACGAGGGCCACTCGGTCTGCTCTTATAGTATGCATTACCTGGACTAATGTCGCCGCTGGCATTTGGCTGCTGTTGCTGCTGCTGTTGCTGTTGCAGATATTGCTGCGCGTTCTGCTGCAACTGGCTGCTCAACTGGGGCGTCAAGTGCTGCCTGTAGAAGTTCTGGTTCTCCAGGCTGGGATTGGAATTGAGCCCAGGCTGCTGGCTAACAATCGTGGTGGCAAAAGAGTTGCTCGGCTGAATCTCTACATTGGAGTTCAATCCGAAGTTACCCACTCCTGTCTCCTGGCGGAATTGTCGAGCCCTTTGCTGCTGCTGATGATTTTGCTGCTGCTGGAACACCGCATTGCTGACGTAGTTGGGCAGCAGCAACTGTTGCTGCTGCTGCTGTTGAAATGGCTTGTAATTGTTATGGGGCAAGGCCTGAAGTTGCGACGCCTCTGCCGGTGCAAAGTTGAACTGATTAGAGGGCTGGACTTGAGAGTTTTCGTTCGATTTCTGCAGAGATTGCTGCAAATTTTGGAAAATCTGCTGCACTGCATTCGCTGGCGGCTTCTGAAAGTTATTTGCGTTTATGTTGCCATTGTGCAGGGCGAATTTATGACCCGAAACGGCATCGCGCAGCGGCAATTGCTGCTCAATTGGATATGTGGGATAAATAACAGTCTTGGTGTGTGTGCTGGGTATAAATTCGACCGAAGGTCTTATGGAGTAACCCCCGCCCAAAGTGGGCGGCTGCAGACCCGTCTGAATGGCCTCCAGCGAACCATGTTGCTGCTGTACTTGCGGCAGTTGCTGCTGCGGTTGCTGCTGCTGTTGCTGCTGTGGCTGCAATGTGCTGGGTTGGGCAATCGGTGAGCCCTGGAAGCGGCTCTGGGTCTGCTCCTCCAGCAGCTTCAGTTGGCGCAGGATCAGAGCCTGCTGCTGTTGTGCCTGGACCTTCAACTGGAAGATCTGCTGCTCCAGAGCGCGTTGGCGTTCGATCAGGTAATTATTTACACTGGGTGGCTCAGGCAGATTGTTCAGAGGCTCCTGCTAAAATATTCATTTAATATTATTATTGAGGAATTATTATTATTATAAAACATCAATCAAAAGGTATTTGCTAGTCGCTAAGATGTTGTGATATAGTTTTAAGCAGCATACCTTCACATAATTGCTCGTAGAGCTGGCCAGAAAGGCAGGAGTGGTGGAGAAACCACCGCCGGCACTGGTGCTCGTACTGATCTGGGTGGTGGAGGTGCTGCTGCCTGTGGGAGGGAACTGTGTGGGCAGCGGAGTAGCCGGTGGCTCTGTTTCCAAAACATTCAGCTTAGTGATGGTTGGTCCGATGTGGGACAACTGTTGCTGCTGCTGTGGTGCTGCGAAGTTGGTGCGCTGTTGGAGCTGATTGCCCGCAAGCAATGGGCGGTACTTTTGAGCCGTGCCACGCTCGTCCAGATCCACCGTGAAAGCGGTCACTAGTGGCGCTTCCTGGATGCGAATGTCCTGCTTGTCCACCAGCTCTATGTTCTCCCCATCCTCATTGTGGGTGGGCCTCGGAGTGGTTGTGGTTGTGGTCGTCGACGTTGTGGTGGTGCGACGTCTGGTGGTGCGGGGTCTAGGCGTAGTGGTCGTGGTCGTACTCGTGGACGTGGTTGTCGTGGGCGTGCTGGTCTTCCTCACATTGCTGATCTCGAATTTGATCTCGTGACTGCCGCTGTCGTGGGAGATCTCATTGCTACTCACGGATCCGGATCCGGAACTGGAGCTATCCACGCTCCGGGTGAGCTGGCGATTCTCTGGACCCTCGTCCTCCGTGGATTTCGGTTCGAGGGGCAGGGAAGCGGCGGGTTGATTCAGTTTCCTGATCGTAGTCTTCTTCCATAGCTTGGAGCGATCGATAAAGGAGGAGAGCAGCTGCTCCTGGGCATTCTTCTCATCAAAAGTGGCCGTGTAGAATTGTACAGTGGGCACCACAGGCTCTGGATCGTTTCCCCTGGTGCTCTCCTCCAGAATCTCATCCTTTTCGCGGTGCGATGGCAGAGTGGAGGTCTCTGCTCGGAGGAGCAGGGAATGAGCACCGCTGCTTCTGGCACTTTCCTCACCACTTTCCGTAGCAGCCGCCTCCTCCTGTTCCAGCTTATCAATGGCGCGAAGTAAGGCCTGCCTCACAGAGTAGTCCAGCTTTTGGATGGCCTCCCTGGGAATGATCTCGTTGCTCTCCGTGCTGGCACTCTCCACCTCCACCTCCTTTTGATTGCCACTGGTTTCCGCATTGGTCACATGGAGCTTTAGAGCAGCCAGCAGAAGAACCGCCAGCAAAGCCCAAGGTAGGCTGTTCAAATGTCTCTGTTTACGAGATAAAAAAAAAGATATAAAGATGCAGCCAACAAAGAGGAAACATTAATGGTCACGCTTAAATTTTAATAACTTAATAAGTTCGACAGCCTTCTCATAATGGGCGTCTTAGTTTTAGGCCTCATTTGCTTTAATGGCAATTGGTGCACGGCTAGTTGGAGACACCTTGGGCTAATTGCCTGTGACACCTTAACCAATTCCAATTGCATGGTATTAGTCAAAATGGCTTTTGTCGGAATGTTTTCGAACTTTTTATCTCTTTAAAATGTTGTAACTTGTTGGGAAATTATAAATTATGATATGTTCATTTATCTTAAACTAATGGTTATGTTATGTTATGGCCAATACCCGATTTTCTAACCGGTCCAAGTAGGCTAGTAAACCTACTTTGAATGCTCTAGTATGAAATGTAGAGTACCTACTAAAAATTGTGCTAGTTACGTATAGTTAGCGAATTGAAGTGTGACAAATGTCTATAAAATTGGTTTGAATTTTAACTGTGACTGCATTTTTATATAATTTTTCCTGATTTCCTGATTTTCCTGAACTAAAAAGATACTTTATTAATTGAGCGCTTCGTAATTTCGAGTGCATTTTATTCGCCACATTAGAAGCCAAGCCCAATTGCGGGAAACTTTTGCAAGCTGTTGGAAAGTGGAAAATGCATGCTCCGTCTGTAGTTTGTGACCCCTTCGTTATTGTAAGCCAAAGTCCGCTAATCTCGGCGAGGTAATCTTTCCGGCATTTGCGCCGGTGGAAAATCATAACGCATTATACTTCGTTTTTGCTGCCCATTAATGGTATTCGGATTTCTTGTTTTTTTTTGGGGAATCTAAGGCTGCGTTTGGGCCTTTACCTTCTCCATTTTCTTAGCCATTGCCTTGCACAATTTGCCATTTTCAACAGCTTGACGATTGATTCCTGGTGGGTTTTCATGCGATTGGAGTCTTGGACTGTTTGCAAATTGGCCAGCAAGTTGCAACTCTTGTTTGGCTGTGGCCAAGTGCTTAGGCTAATTGTTGCATCAACGAGCGGAGGAAAAGCAAACCATCTGACCACCTGTCGCCGGAGCTACGTGAGTTTTCCGCTTTGATTTGGTTTTGTTTTTTCTGTTTCGGCTACAGATTTGGATTTGGAATTTCGGTCTGCGTTTTTGGGGCTCACTTTGGGTGCCCAGGATTTTTGTGTGGCAGTCACGTTGTTGCCACTTGGCACTTGGCATTACCCCGCGTTGTTGGCCAAATTTGAACAATCGTGGTAAAGTCGTTGCCTGAGTGGAAATTATTTAATCGGCATCAGCAGCAGCAGTAGATAAAATGAAAAGCCCATTGGGTTCGCAGCAAGGATTCCAGTCACTTGCAATGCCAATGTTGCATAAATCGTTGCTTTGCACAGAAAACAAATATCTTGAGGTGCCTGAAAATCTCTTTGATTTCAATGCTCAAATATATAATTGTTATTTAGAAGGTTCTAGATTTTTGAGGACTGTATTGCTGAGCATTGAATCGCTTGAAATATTAATTTTATTTGGTGGCATGAGGTCAATGCCCAAAGCTCATTTTTCAGTTAGTCCCCTACAAGTAATCAATCTTTCCCATTGAGTAAATCTTTTAACTCTGATCAACACTTTTGGCTGAAGTTCGCCCCTTAAACTTTCTACTTGTCCGCCTTCAAAACACCGAA